TTGCTTAAGCCATAGCCAACAATATGTGCCATACGCAACATACGCTATGGCAGTTAGAATCGATGACCAGATGTAAAGTGTCTGAAATATCAACGAATAAAGAACACAATGTTATGATAAGAAAATGAGAAAAGACAAATACATTCTACGACATACCATTCGTTTAAACCGCTCAACAATGTTTAGAAAGATAATATTTGCAAATAGTTGAACGAGTGAAATTAAAAATGATGAATATTTTGATGAAAACGGCGATCCAGTCTTTTCGAAAATATTCGTTATATAGCTGAGCATCACTGTCGCACACGATAGAAAACTTATAACTAGTGACACAAATGCAATAAAAATAGAACGTTTTGCTTTTGGCGTCACTAAAAGAAGAATGAGAATTGTATTTAAATAAACACGGTGTGTTGTCATTGTAAATGGTCATCACTTACAAAAATCGTGGAACGTTAACTTTGAATCATCTTTGTTAGTGTGCACTTTTGTTTGTTCATATTCTGCATCGATGCACTCATGCTTCGGAAGAAACTGAACATTTTCTAGTGTACAAATATTTCCTTTGTAAAATCGGCATGACCTTTTCGCTGACTAAAAATGATTAAATTAATAAATTCATGGAATTTATAGTTTAAAAAATTGACTCTTTTCGGCGATGGATACCTTTTCTTGACGTAGTTTAATCCAATGTTCAGGTGATTCAGGATATATAAACATGACACATAGAAAAATGATCGGCAAAATTAGTTGGCATTTTGCTTGATCGGTCCAATTTAAAAGACTTCCAAGCAAAAATGAAATGATCATTCCCAAATTATTTGCAATATCGTAAAATGAGTTGAGAGCCGCACGTACGTTATCATTTGATATTTCATTTATAAATGTAGGAATAGCAACAACCAGTCCACCACTTATTAGGCCACACAAAAATCTTGATGTATATCTTGTAAAATTCAAATGTAAAGGGAAAAATTCAGTATTGTAGCAAAAGGACCAATAAATTCAGAAATTTACGATACATACAACCAATATACATTCTTGGCATAAAGAATAAGCAGAGAACTCGTCTGAAACACATATCCACAATATTATTCACATTTTATGTAGGTCACACAAATTATTCTTACAATTAATGGCACTCCAAACAGATGAATCGTTTTTTTTATCCCAATGTAATTACTTATGGGTAAAATTACGAAATTTCCTAAATACAGAATATACCTATAAAATACGATTTTTTCATTCAATTTTCAGAAAATTACCAACAAAACCTCCTGCAAATAATAGCGAAACAACAAGCGACCCTTCGCCCGTAGAGAGTTTTCCCATTGGAAGTGTGCTATTCTCGTTTTGCAATTCATTTAAATTAATGGTGGTCCAACCGGACGTCAAACCGAACGAAAATACCAGTAAATTACCTATTTTAAAATAATTTTATTTTTATTTTTGTCTGTTTTATACAAGATTATATAAATATTCAGTATCAAATGTACTTACAACAAATTATTGCCAGAAATTGATTGCACACAGGCGAAAACTCAAACATTTTTTTGTCAATGTATGACTTATTCCGAATAAGTTATTCGAATGTCAGACAGTAAATTTGCCGGAGATAGATGTGACCGTGTTGACTGTATATTTTCTACTTAACAACTGATGACTGTTTGATAGATACGTTTGAGTAGTTTTCTCTTTTATCTAAGAATAGCTCGTAACTTCCACTCTATATCAAATGCTTTACTACGTGACTGCTGATTAAATTGAGCAACATGCGATGATTTCGGTACATGCGATCTAGACATATATACATGTATATGAATTATTCATTACATTCTTATCGCATTACTTCAAAATCTCTTTTTTATCACTCATTTGATTCGAAAAATGTGATGTAACGCTGGAATTTCATGAATTAGTTAGTTGATAATTCATCTCGGTTTTTATTTTCAATCAAACAATTTAAATTTAGTTTTCTCTTTTTTCTGACGGAACGCTTAAAGTGGCGCTTTAAAAAATGTTTATTTTTTCATTCATTATAGTATTGTAGTAAACGAAGTGCCAAACAAAAAATTTTTTTTACATAAAAACACAACAAAAAGACCTTAGGGACTTTGTGATTGTATAAAAATGTGATTAGGTTAAAAATTACTTTTATTTCAAAAAAAAAAAAAAATATCACAACAAATGAGTAAAAGTAACACCATCTACAACTAAAATCATTCCAACTTATTCATTATCACTTAAGATTTCCATAATCTCACAATAGGACTTCCCTCTTGTTTCCGGAACGAAAACGTATCCATAAACTGCATTTAATAAGCTGATAGCACCAAATGTGATCATGGTATTAAATAGACCGAATGTTTCAAGAAACGACGGGAATATTGATACAAGGACAAATTGAATCACCCAGATCAACGAAACTGAAAGTGAAAGGCACGTTTGACGAATCTGTAAAAAATCGAAGTCACATTTAAACATCTTAAACTTTGCACTCAAATGGCTTTGTGTACAAACTTTTTTCGGGAATATTTCAAATGTAATAATAAAAGGTATTGGATTTTGTCCCATCCAGCTGAAGTATGTTATGCATACAAAGCAGAACAGAGGCATCCAATCGTATTCGGGGCGATCGATCCACAATAAACAATATGTACCAAACAATAAGAAACTGGCTGTAGTTAGTAGTGATGAACCAATCAAAAGTGTCTGCAAAGATCACATGTTCACTATAAAATCAAACATTTTTTTAAAATAAAAATTTGTCCCAACCCTTCGATTGATCCGTTCAACAATGTATAGAAATATCAAATTGGCTATAATTTGTGTGATCGAAACTAAGAGCGATGAATTTTTAGTTGTGAATGATGATCCGGTTTTTTTGAATATGTCTGTTACATAGCTTAAAATAACCACCGGTCCGGATGCAAAGCTTAATATGACGGTAGTGAAGGAAATGAAAATGGCTCGACTTGCTTGTGGAGTGACTAAAATATGAATGATTTTTAAATTTATTAGACAAAATTGACCAAGTTACTTACATAAATTACTAAGTGTAACTAACAGAAATCTTTGACCGATAATTTTTCACTTTTATCATCTGGTTTTCCTTTTTCAATTTCACATAGTGATGATTTTTGATGAAATTCGGCGTTCTCAAGAATTTTCGTCTCTGAAATGTTACCTCGGTAAAATTTGCGAGCCTTGGTGGCTTCCTGGCAAGTTAAAATCAAACTTGAAAATCCGGACATTCACCATAATTCTGAGTTTTACCTTTTGTTTATTTCTTTTAGATAAATATTCCGGAGATTCTGGTAGTAAAAACATAATGCTGATGAAGATGATCGGTCCGATCATCAGTGTTTTTGCTTGATCAACGCAACACAAATAATTTCCGGTGAAAAATGAAATAATAAGTCCAACATTGTTTGCGGGGTCCAGAATAGAGTTCAGGCAACCCCTAGTACTGAAACATTAAAATGGAACATTTAATTTATTTTACGTAATATAAAAAAAAAAAAAATGTAATTTACTTGTCGTAGGATATATGATTTACTAGCGTTGGAATGCCGACTGATAAAGCACCCCCAACCAGGCCGATCAAAAGTCTCGATGCATATAAATAAATCACATTTGTTGCGTATATTATCAGTAGTGAACTTAACTAAAATGATGTTATGTGTTTGTGTTAAAAAACAACAATTTGATTTTTTTTTCGGAACATTGAACTTACAATTAAAGGTAGTCCAAACAGATGAATTGTTCGTGTTATTCCAAAACATTTACTGATTGGTAAAAAAGCGAAAGTTCCAACGAATCCACCAACATTGGCGAGTGAAATCACAAAAGATCCTTCTTTCAATGTCAAAGCACCAGTTGGAAATGTTGAATTTTTACTTTGAAGCTCATTGAAATTGATTGTTGCCCAACCACTAGCTAAACCATATGATAATGTCAATAAATTACCTATTTATAAACAAAAAAAACATATTGTTTCACTTCATTTGACTATGACTTATTGTATTAAACAATCTTTTTGTGAGACGGCACTTACAAAAAATAATTGCAAGGAATTGGTTTAAAATTGGTGAGAATGTGAACATTTTTCGTAATAGTTCACGAAAAAAATATCCACACTGTTCTATACAATATTTCACTTCGCTTCGCTCTTTTCACTTGTTTATTCACATTAATTTAATTTTATCTTAATTTCTTTAATAAAGATTATTTTATAATTCACTTCTGTTTTATTTGTGATTTTCTGCAAAATAAAAGTTGGAGGAACTATTTAATTTACAGCATGAAAGTTAGTTCATGCCCGCATTTGGCTTGGCTAAAAATGCTTCATCAACGTAAATTTTAAATTGAATTCATATTTCTCGATTGGCTATTGTGTGGAATCTTCTTTTTTTCATCTTATATTTAACCAATATGTTTGAAATTCTTGCATTAAATTAAAATTTTGTTATTCAGACTGAAATTGTTCAAAAAATGATTAAAAATTGCATAATAATTTAAAAAAAATTAATTTCAATCTATTTTCTTTAGTTGGGTTTTCGTTTTAAGTTGCTGCGCTAACTAAAAAAGTGTATTACTGAATCAGACGCCAAATAAAAAAATAAATATAGGTAAAGTGTCTGTTTAATTTGTGTTTTTTTGTCGCTCAAAAGGAGAAAATCGAAAGAATGTCACAAAAATACGTCGGAATACTGATTCGAATGTCCGAATTATTTTGATTATACGTGTTGAAGTGAATGAATTTGGCTCATTGGAAAATTCGTGTGGGTGTTATTTCTAAAAATAGTCAATCGTATACGGTGTCTATCGAACTCGTGACTACTGATAAAATTAACCGAATTTAGCTGGCTACAACATTATATAGACAAATCGTATAGACAACATTTTTGTGAATATCCGTATAAAGCATATCATAAACACTCGTTTCAATCAAAATTTATGTTTATTTCCAATAGATATCACAACAAATCAGCGAGAATAAAGCGATAGTACAACTTTATAGAGATTTCTTTTCTATTTTAATTATTTATTATAATTTAAGAGTTCCATAATTTCAATATGAGATTTTCCTCTCGTTTCTGGAAGAAAAATTATACCAAAAACTGCATTTAATAAGCTGATAACACCAAATGTGATCATGGTATTGAATAGACCGAATGTTTCAAGAAACGATGGGAATATTGATCCAAGGACAAATTGAATCACCCAGACCAACGAAACAGAAAGTGAAAGGCATGTTTGGCGAATCTGTAAAAATCAAAGTCACATTTTAACATCTTAAACTTTGCTCTCAAAAGGTGTACAAACTTTTTTCGGGAATATTTCATATGTAATGATAAAAGGTATTGGATTTTGTCCCATCCAGCTGAAGTATGTTATGCATACAAAGCAAAACGGAGGCATCCAATCGTACTCGGGGCGATCAATCCATAATAAACAATATGCACCAAACAAGAAGTAACTGACTGTAGTTAGTAATGATGAACTAACTTGAAGTGTCTGTAATAAACATATATTTATTTATGTAAACAACAGCTAGTAATTATTTAATAGTTTTATATCTGCAATTTGTACTGACCCTTCGATTGATCCGTTCGACAATGCTCAAAAATATCAAATTGGCTATAATTTGTGTGATCGAAACTAAGAGCGATGAATTTTTGGCTGACATTGATGATCCGGTTTTTTCGAATATATCCGTTACGTAACTTAGGATAACCACTGTGCCCGAGGCAAAATTTAACGTGAGTGCCGTGAACGAGATGAAAATGGATCTTCGTGCTTGTGGAGTTACTGCAACAACATTTTGAAATCGGTAAAAATTAAATTTAAATTAAAGTGAACAGTGGATGGAACTTACAAAAATCACGAAGAGTCACTTTTGAGTCTAGATCATCATTTTCAACGTTCTTAATTAATTTTCCTTTTTCGATTTCATTTTGTGATTTTTGAAAAAAATCGGCGCTTTCAACTACTGCAATGCTTCCTCTGTAAAATTTGCGTGCTTTATATGCTTGCTAAATTAAAAAAAATGATTGAAAATATCAACGATTTACATATATTTCTCAATTGTACCTTTTGTTTGTTTCGATTCGACAAATATTCTGGCGATTCTGGTAGTAAAAACATGATGGTGATGAATATAATTGGTCCAATCAACAGAGTTTTTGCTTGATCGATACAACTCAAGTAATTTCCCATAAAAAAGGAAATAATAACACCAAAGTTGTAAGACGGATCGTACATTGAATTCATAAATGCTCTTACTCTATGAATAATCACACGAACGTTTAATTTTCAATAGATTTTTCATAATAATTGAGAAATTCACTTACTCATAATGAGATATATCATTTACAAGAGAAGGCAAACCGACGGACAACGCACCTCCCACTAAACCACTAAATATTCGAGATACATACCTGCCATAAAATAATTTTATTATATATTTATTTGATTTTAGTTTAAAAAAAAAAAAAATTTTGTGCAACAAACCATTACTCACAAGTAATAAATATTTCGTGCAAATATGATGAGTACTGCGCTCAACTATGTAAACAGATATACCTAGTTAACTTAATCTAAATGTTTATAGTGAAAACAATTCAGTTAGAAAACTTACAATCAATGGTACACCAAAGAGATGAATTGTTTTCTTAATTCCAATCATTTGACTTATTGGTAGAATGGCAAAATTACCAATGAAACCTCCAACGCTTAGGAGTGAAACAACCAAACCACCTTCTTCCAAAGTTAAAGCGCCAGTTGGAAAGGTTGTATTTTCACTTTGAAGCTCATTGAAATTGATTGTAGCCCAACCGGATGTTAGACCATATGATAATGTTAATAAATTACCTAGAAAAAGCAAATTTAATCAAATTGTATTATTTTTGGAACTTCGTTTACAGATACTCACAACAGGTAATAGTAAAAAATTGTTTGAATGTTGGTGAAAATTTAAACATTTTTTATAAGAATTCACAAACTAATTTATCTTAATTGATTAACCCGACTTGATTCAATGGAGATCGATTGTTATGAATGTTCTTAAGCAAGATATAAACGTGAATTTATAGAGCGCATCAGATTGCAAAATAAAGTGATAAGATATAATATCTATAAATCTTCCGAGAATCGTACTTTTTGACGTGCAATAAACAGCTGTTATTTTGATTTCTTATCACAGATCTAAGCTACTGGAAGGTTACCTAAAAATATATTTCTAATGTGACATGTTTGAAAAAATATCCAGCCGGTGTAAACTGTATGATGCTTTCAATTGCTTCAATTTTGTTTTCAAAATCAAATAAAATTCAGGCATTGTTATTCATTATTTTTCCATTTTTAACACTAACACGTTCAAATAAGACAAAAAGTTCTTCATCTTCTGTGTTGATGGGACTATATGTATTTAAAAAATGATATCATATTCATTATTCCCCCAATGCAACCAATGGGTCACATTCAAAAGTGACGCGATTCAGCACGGCAAGCGGCATTTGATTTCATTGTTATCAGCAATGATTTATATGGAATACTAGTCTTAGGAAGAAAAACAATTATTGTAAACGATAGAAGTTCATTCTACTCCGCACCAAGAGAGACTGTTTCCAAGGGAAATATATGTGAGGAGGAGCGTCCTGAGGAGCCGGAGGAGTATGTAGAGCTCCTCTTCAGTGAGGAGCAAAATATTAAAAGTTAAAAAATATCTTTTTTGAAATTATTTTTTTGAAATTTTTAATATATTTGATTTGAATATTTTTTTTAAGACAGTCATGATCTTTTAACAATTGTACTATTTTCAGAGCTGGATACGAACAGCCGGTAGTTGATGTTTGTCCCAGCTCTGACTATTTTGCAAAATGTTGATAAATATTAAGACTTTAATAAAAGATATATCAACGAAATTCGACACGGAAAAAATATTTCTATGAATTGCAATATCATAAAAGTAAAATATTTGTAAATGGTGAAAAAAACAATGGGAAAAACAAATAGACGTTGTCTGGATTGATAAAACCGGTCACAAGGAGACTGATTGTTTATAAGGCAAATACAACATTCTCACATCAAGTTATCTTACAGCTGTTTTTATTATGTCATTTTCACGTTTTAATCACGAAATGGTAATTTAAGTAGTACAAAAGTATTTCCTATATCGATCCGTAAGATAGCTGAAAATGATAAATTCAGATATGAGAAACGCAAGCAGGACTATACATTTGGGCTCTCATATCAAAATATCCCAACCTCCCTTGATTTTTTGGCCAAAGCTGGCATTTTTGTGGACCAAGATGGCAACAGAAAGTCATCCAACACCTACGATCGACGGACAAACAGTAAATATACCGAATTAGTTTTTTCAATCAAATATAAGCGACTATTAATAATAATGATCAAATTAGAATCGATTTCCCGCTAATTTATGTTTTGCTTGCTTTGAACTTTGTCGTAGAAAAAAATTTAGAGTGTAAACACACGATGTAAGTTGAACAATGAACAAACATATGTTCGTTATCTTATCATTTATCTGCTATAGATTGAGCTACTGGAATTTTACAGGGCGAGTGTCATTTGCTACGAATGTAATTGTGTATTTACTTATTTACAATAAATCACCAAAAATAGTTCTTGTAATGAATAAAAACAAAAACGGGGAATTTCGACGTTTTATTCAATGAATTATATTCATAGTAACCGATAGCAATTGTTCATCAAAAATGGTGTATCTACTTGTCTGACTTGGTCAAAATTTGAGATTTGCTTATGGATACGAAACGAATAATAGTAATAACTTTATTCTCTCTACCCATTGACCGTTAAAGGTTATCTTTTAACTTCATTTTTTAAAATTCTAATGCCTATTGCTGATTTGCGCCAATGTACTTTGCTTTTGGAAACAGTAAAAAAGCATATGTGAAGCCAAAGAATCATCACCAATCACATAAAACTGAAGTTCTTCGATAACTTTGTTCTTGTAACCACTGATTGCAAAGATTGCTTTGGTGTTTATTGCAGTCGAGTCTGGCCAAGTGCCCATATCTTATCAGTGTTGATTGTTTTTATGACAAAGTCGAACACTAGCGTGTGCGTATCAATCATTAATACATGTTTGAATTTCGACCAAAAACAATGTCAATTTTCAAACACTGTAATTACAACTAATGAAAATTAATTCGAAAAATAATTATTTGTTTGTCAAAAAATGTGCAAAATGACGCCAGTCTTAAGACAGTTTTCTGCTATATTTATTTGTAAGTTCACCGAATATCAATCAATTATTTATCGTGTTTCAGTCCATAATTTCTTTTTTTTTCTCAGGTAATTTGCTGACGCTGGCATTTGGTATTCAGAGTGGTTGGGCCATGATAAATTTCAGTGAACTTCAAAATAAGAATAGCACATTTTCGACGGGCCCATTAACTCTAGATGAGGTAACGCTCGTTGTGTCACTCGTCAATATTGGTGGATTTTTCGGAAATTTTGCAATAATGTCCGTGAGCAAATGGTGTGGCATTAAACGAACAATACATTTATTTGGATTACCATTGATCGTAAGAACTGACCAAAATATTAAAAAAATCGACAACAAAATATCGTGAATTATGTATTAATATTATTTTAGATAAGTGCTTTGCTCACCATCTATGCAAACAACGTTTTTTTATTGTATGCATCGAGTATACTTAGCGGTATTGTTGGGGGTGCACTCGTTATTGGTATTCCGTCGTTTATAAACGAAATTTGCAACGATAATGTTCGTGGTTTTCTAAATAGTATTTATGACCCAGGTAATTTGATTTAATTATATAAAAATATCGACATAAACGCAATCATTTATCGATCATATAGGTTACAACTTGGGTGTCATTATTTCGTTCTTTATCGGCAACTACTTAAGCTGTTTAAATCAAGCAAAAATACAACTTATAGTACCCATCATTTTTATGATTGCGATGTTTCTACTGCCAGATTCACCAGAATATTGGCAAAAACGACAAAAAGAAAAGGTATCTTGTTTTAGAAATTATAGCCTCATAAAAAGAGTAATTTTTGACAGTGATTGATAATTGATAGCTTCATATACAGTGATAAGTGGCAAACTGAACAGCGAAAGGCCTATTTTTGTATTTTATGTTCATTCTATATACATGTGCTTGATTTTTCTCATACCAGTGGTTCCTAACTCAGTTAGACTCACTAAGACTTAATTATATAAATGATGAAGTTTCTTTTGCATTCTGATGCGTGTAAACAGATCGTTGATAATGGATCAATCAAATTTGGATTCCAAATCAAAAATAAGATGATAACTATGAAATCCAGGAAATTTTCCTATTTCGACCGATTCACATCGCCCATAGTAAAACTAAGTAATCGTCTAATCGATACCGTTGCGTTCATTAAATTTCATACAAGGTAACATGTACTTAAAGATAAATGTCTAATCACGAACAGTTGAAGACAAAGTTGTACAATTATAAATTAATTGCTACCATATTCGAAGAGCGATAGAAAGCAATTATCGCCAATTTGTTTGCTGAACGAAACGAATAATTCGTTATGAATTGAAGAAACAAATTGGCCGAAAAATAAGTCAAAGGGTTGAACGAAAATCATGCGGCCATACATGTAGTGAGCGTTTCAGACGATGAAGTCTCAGAACAATCAAACAACCTGCGCTTTGCCCTCGACTTGTTAGTTGCATCGAAACAAAAACAATATCCCCAAAAATCGTTCTACGACGCCGTAAATTAAAAATGTTTCGTAAAAATCGAACAAAATTGTTGAAAAACTTATTTTATGAATTATGAAATTTCGGCTGCATTCTTATGCATGTAAACAGGTCGTTGTTAAAAAAAAAATCTGGTTATCGTTTCGATACAAGTGGACCGCGGATCACTGAATTAGACAAACGCATACACCAAAATGTTTTTTCAACATATTTAAACAATTCTACTACTATTAGTAGTCTACTAGTGTTTTGTGAGCACACATGACCAGAAAATAAATTCGCAGAACCAATGAATTGCTGTGATTTCAATTTTGCTCTTCTAAAGGATACACATTTATACTATTAATCATGTCACTAAAGATTCTATAATTCTTAACTTTTAGCATGCACTGAAAGCACATACATTTTACAAAGGAAGTACAGTGAATACACATATACCCGAGCACGATGAATTTATTCCGAAAATGAAAAATGAAACGGTTGAAAAGGGTAAATTGGAAGAAATGGCCAACAATCAAAACATGGAGAATTCAACGTTATCTCTTGGAGATTTTTGTAATTCAACTAAATGAATGTTATTTTGATTATAGCTGAAAATTCACGATTTCATTTCTTTCAGGTACTCCCCAGGCAAGGAAAACCTTTTCAATTGCTTTCACCATACTCTTATTGAGTATTACTTCCGGCACTTGGACTATGCTTGCCTATGTTACAGATATATTTGAGAAAACTGGCTCCTCATTGTCCTCGAAAAATTCGTCACTTTTAATCTCCATAACACAAATTTTTGCAAATGTATTGCTCTTGAATGTTATCGAAAGAATTAATCGTAGGGTATGTATTATGAAGAAAAAATTCGCAAAAAAAATCCATAATCCGTTTGAATTACTTTGCAGACTTTATATATTTGGTCATCGATTTTAACTGCAACCAGCTTTTTCGCATTTTCTATTTATTGTTTGTTGTGGATGGGCCAACCAAAATACGAGTGGATGCCACCCTTTTGTTTTTCATGCATAATCTTCTTCAGTTGTCTGGGACTATTTCCAATACCATATATTTTGCCAACGGAAATTTTTCAAAAAAATGTAAGCATATTCTCCATATCAAATACAAAAATTACTTGAACAACATTTCAAATTTCAGATTCGGCACACATGTCTAGTAGTCGTTGTGTCTGTGATTTGGATTCTTTCATTTTGCTACGGATTGGTGTTTCCCAGCTTTTTGGAATATGTCGATTTGCATTTTTGTTTTATTTTTCTCGGCATCATATCATTAGTCAATGCCATTTTTGGATACTTTTTCGTTCCGGAAACAAGAGGAAAGTCTTACGAAGAGATTATGCAATTGTTAAGCGATTAGACTTAAACGACGAGACTTAAAGAGAAGAAACTCATGTGAAATGGGCATAGGATGTTACAACTGTGTTAATGTCGCTGTACTATATATAAAACATTTATTGTGATAAATTCCATTATTATTGATGCTCTAGTTTTATCAAATAAAAATCTTTCTTTCATTCATTTATTTCAGGAAAAAAATATAAACGTGTTCATTGTTTAATTTCTATATCATACAATAAGATCAGAATAAATTTATATCGATAAATATGGTTTTCATTCGATATTGAAGCAAGACAATTATTATTGAAAAATAAAACCAAGGACTATCCCAATAAAATCAATAAAGATATGCATTTCAATATTCTGATATTTGAAAGAAGTTCGTGAAAAAGTGAGTCTGCTGTCAAATGTCAATATTTTATCGAACCCTTCTATGGAATTACTTAGTACCAAAAAGTGGCGCCACTGTACATTTCATAGAAGGGTTCGATAATATATTGACGTTTGACAGTAGACTCACTTCATATGAAGGAAAATCACCAACTCCTTCTTGGTCCTAGTAAGTATTTAGAAACTGTTACTAAATTCAAAGAAGAAATTTTTTTTTAATCAAAAATCCATACAAATAATCCTAATTGATTTGTCACTTGTTGTGAAAACTGGACAACTTGGCAATAAATATGATAAATATTCGTGTAAAAACTACGATGGTTTTTTTAAATGACATAACCGAACTAAAAAAGTTCTTCGGCGCTTATAAAACATGGAAACTCTTTGGAAATTTTAATTACTATTCATTTTACTTTTCCGCACACACCTAGTGTGTAAGATAAAGTATTGGAATCGGTCGAAAAATTAACACCCATCAAAAATGTGTTTCCTGGGTGTTTTTGGGGCCATAGAACACGAATCTAGCGTTTTTTCGATGTCCGAATGTATGTGCGTACCCTGTACCCTGTACCCTGTATCCTGTACCCTGTACGCAAAAATTTGTTAACACGATAACTTTCAAACAAGAAAAGTAATTCAAAATCTGACTTCACAAGATGATTGGGGGTGCCGAGGAATAGAAACCATTAGATTTTGAGCGACTTTGGTTGATAGAGTGAAGTGTCATGTCTGGTGTGATGCCCATGGGCATCCATGGGAAAAAATCAATGTTTCTTCAAAAAATTATATTTAATGTTTTCTTAAACACTCAAAAATATGTATTGGGGGGTTTTTCGGTACGAGAAAACCAAATATGACGTTAGTTTTGCGATACAAAGAATTTTCGACACACTTTTCATACAAAAATTTCAAAAATTTTGGATTTTTGTATGATGGCCTGTATGATATCATAATTGGCTGAAACTTTGCACGGATTATTTTTATCGCATAAAAATAACATTCCGAGGGTTTGAAGAGATTTCAATGCATAATAGGGGTACCTCCTGAACAAAATTTTGGATTTTTTGCTCAAAACGAAAATTTTGTATGGAAGGTATCACTCAATTGTATTGAAATTTCTTCAAACTTTCAGAATGTTAGTTTTTTGTGAAAAAAATAACATCTGCAAATTTTCACATGATTATGATATCATACAGGCATTGAAAAGTCTATCAAAATTATTTGTATCGCCAAATTTATATCAGATTCAGTTTTCTCATGAATTCATATTTACGGTAAAGGATACGTAATAAATGCATGTTGTGGATCACAGTGTTTATCACAAAAGTTCATCTTACGGATGTAAGACATTTTATTTTATATTAATTTCAAAGCGTTTCATTTAATAAGGCGTTAGCTATGTTGGTAAAATGTATAATGCATTTGAAGAACATTTTAAAGATTTAAAATAAAATGAACAACGGACAATAATGTGTAATTGGGTACGATTCAAAGTGTTCAATTTGTTCAATTTTTGAAAAGTGACAGAAATCGTTGTTAATCACAAGATTTTAAAAATCCAAAAAAAATCAAAAAATTATTCGGTATGTAAATTCAGGATTTGATAATACTGAGAGATTTAATTAAGTGCAAACAAGTATCGTTTTTTAAATTTTATTTCATTTTATTGAAATTTTTAGGTTTTTTTACATTTTGTGCATTAATCTGAAAAAATATTCACAATTTTTTAAATTTTTTTTACATTAAATCAAAATTTATAAAATCCAAATTTTTGAAAAACAATTGATAATAAATCAAACAATGAAATGAAATTGAAGAAATCATCACATTTTTACTTCTCGGAACGTTTTCTATTAGGTTTCCTAACCTTTGCTTTTTCGCCAATTATGCTGTATATACCAGTGTCTATAAATCTATTTCGAATCACCGCATTGTCAGGTATGTATTTCTCTATCAATTCACCAATCGCATTCGCCGTCTTTTCTTTTGCGGTTACTTTAGTTTGGTGTACCATCTTTCTTTTTTTTCTCGCCGGTTCATCGAGCTGCTTTACAAGAGAAATCTCTTTCTCATTTTCTTCTTTATCAAGTTGATATTTATCAAACAATTCACCTAATTTAGCTGAAATGATAGTTTGATTTACTTTTATTAGATTTAAGCCTTCTTCGGTTATGGATGATGGAGTTGTACGAATCGGTTTATTGATTCGGGGTGAAGAGGTCCCATTTAGTAATCCCATTCTCATTTTTAAATCACGTATTTTTCCTGACCAATGATTCAATTTCTCTGTGTGCGGTTGTCGTCGTTCGGAGACGTTTTTATACACTTCTGTTTGGAACCGCAACTCATTTTGGTACCCCGAAAGTTCATCAACGAATTTCGTCTGTAAATCTTGCTCACCAATTTTCGAATGATAATAAGCACGAACGCCACCACGGTACATCTTTTTCTTGCTTCGTTTAATTCCCTTGCAGTTGCCAACCATTGGTAACTCATCCATAGTTACCGTTGTCAAGTTCAGTCGTGTTGATGTGTCCGTTGCCGAGGTTGAAGGCTGGGGATCTTTCTTCACAGCAACTTCGTTCGTATTTGGTTTTTTGGCCGTTTTTCCATTTGCTTCCTTTTTAGCCTTCACTGTTTTCATGGTCATAGTTGGCTCAGTATTATTAACTCGGATTCTTATCGGCGTCGATGCAACGATGTTGCAGAACGAAAGATCACCTTTCTTTTGAGGTGAATTATCCAAAATTCTGGCATCTTCCTTCTGATAACGCTTGGCCTCGGTTATATTCTCTCCATCTTTCGTTGAACGCATCAGCCCTTTGTTTTTTTGGCCATTCGGCGGAAGCTGAGGGGCCGATGATGTCGATGGTGTTGATGGTGTTGATGCTTCAACCGGCATTTCTATGTTTTCCAAGACCATCTCCTGATGTATGCGTGACTGTTGAAACATCACTTAAACCTCAACCGCAATTATTTCGGCCGGAGAAAGAGATTCTATTTCTTGAATTGTTGTTTCGGATGTATTTAACAATGAGGAATCGGAATCAGGTTCAAAGAGTTCTATTAATTGGTTTGGACTTATTTTTATTGGAACGTTTTTTCTTTCCAGTGTGGCATCCATATCGTTTATAATATCGTTCAAAATGTCCAGTGGTAGCATTTGATAACTAGGTAGGTGACTATTGATCATTTCAACAATAATATTGACTTTCTCTTCTTCAGAGCGTCCCATCTTATATTTTCTATACCGAAGGCATTGTGATCGTGGGATCGATGGTCGATAGTGATTTTGAAGTCGAGAGCTGGATGGTGCTGATTCTACGGCTGTATCATTCGCTTCAACTATCCCCTGATTTCCGGATGAGTTAGAATGTAACTGCATCAAGGCCGCAGCCGCATCGAATTCGTACTGAGACTCCAATACTAATGGCTGACCATCCAATGTTGTTTTGGATACATTTGACATTGGGAGATCGGAAGCAGGTGCAACCATCTTGTTTTTACTTGAGTTGAAGTCCATCATTAGTATCGCGCAAAACTTCTTTTATAATTTTATTTCAAAAAATTTAGATTTTCTGTAAATATTTGTATGATTTATTTTACTAATTCACTATTTTACTTTGGTGGAAGAGCAATTTCAATCGATGCTGCATGAATTTGAACAATGACAATCTATTTTTCTTATTTTCGAATATATTTTGGCAATTTTTAAAAACTTTTGCTATTAAACGTTCACTCAATACTGTATAGATAATTTGAAACTAAGTTAAATTTTATTTTTTTGCGAATTTTTTCGAATAACTTTTGTTAGATGCTGAACAGTTAAATTCCAAATGAAAAGTGAATTCTTCTTGAAAATACTGCTCCTTTTATACCTAAATTTTCAACAAACTCCACCCACTTCTCATTAAGCATCATCAAGTAAATGCATGCAAATTGCAGAAGATGGGTTGTATTTCGTACTTTAATTAGTCATTAACACACACGTGCATAACCACAAGTGCAGGTATGTTGTGACGCATACAAAAGAATGTATTGGTGTTGTCAACATTAGAAAAGTGACGAATTTAGTTGAGATCTGTTAATGACAAATGACCATTAGGATTATATAGGTAATACAGATTCAAAAGGAAAATACATATTTGGTACGTTTACGAAGTCAACATTTATATTTTTTTCTATAAAAAATCGTACCTACTTCATAATTTTCAAATATTTGATGAACATTGTTCAATTCATTTTATATTTTATACCTTGTTGAAGTAAGAATGTGATGATTTCTTCAATTTCATTTCATTATTTGATTTATTATCAATTGTTTTTCAAAAATGTGTATTTTATCAATTCTGATGTAATGTAAAAAGGAAGAAAAAAACTTGTGAATATTTTTTCAGAATAATGCAGAAAATGTAAAAAAGCTTAAAAATTTCAATAAAGTTAAATTAAATTAAAAAAGTTTGTATTAAAAGTGAGCCTTTTATGTGTTTGCCTTTCTCACTCGCATTGAAATCCACATTTGAGTTATATAGACGTCTCACTCAGTGTACAAGGTTCTTTAAAAAACGGCACTTGTTTTCACCAAAATAAAACTCCCAGTATTATCAAATCAAATCTAGCGATCAACAACGATTTCAGTTACTCTTCAAAAATTGAACAAATGTCCAAAAGTTATTCATTTTTGATTAAAGATAAGATACAAAGGTGCAGATAACAGTATTATTGTTAATTTGATCTGCAATTGAATGAAAAATTGAACAAATTCAGTTTTTCATATGGCATGTGAATAAGCCGAACTATTTCGATTTAATGGTTATGGTTTAACATAACTTCACTTTTTTGTCACAATGATAACAAGTTGATTGCTCAAAAAATGTACAAAACACCAGAAAATATTTACAAAATAAATGTAAATATATTTTTAAATGTTAATTTAAGTGAACATTAATATCATTTTCATTTTTGTGGGATTTGAATTCAAAATATTCGAAAATAACTGAATCAAAAAGTGTGCAACATAGCCTCACTTTCAATTAGGCAATTTCAGTTAAAATTAGGGGTACCTCCCATACAAAATTTTCAATTTTTGGCTCAAAAACGAATATTTTGTATGGAAGGTACTCTTAATTTTGGTTGAAATTTCTCCAAACCCTCCGAATGTTATTTTTTTGTGAAAAAAATAACCTGTACTCCCATACAAAAATCCAAATTTTTTGTGACCTTAGTTATGAAAAGTGTTTCAAAAATAGTTTTTATGGCAAAATTAACTTGTATATAAATTTATGGTGATTTACGTGTATTTTTAAATAATTGAAAAAAGTATGAAACTTTTATTTTGTTTTTCAACATTATTACACTTTATTTAACAAAGTGCCAAATTAACGTCAGACATATTTTTTTATAGTGTTTTATTAGAAAATAGAATACTTTCAAATGTCGTACAAATAGATTCATCATGAAAGTGTGAAGAATCTTTTGCGAGTTCTTCTGCTATTAAATTAAAAAATATTTCGATGCCAAGGTTTGAACATATTTGTTGGTCTCGAACTTTACGCCGTTTGAAAGGCTTGAAAAATCGAACAAATATTATTTTGAACTTGCTTTATAAAATACGCAACTACCACCGTGCGGAAAAGTTCGTCTTACTCGCGTAAGACTCTTTATTTTTATTAAAATTTAAAGTGAATTCAATGCAACGATTTTTTTAAAACTATAATACTAGTTAGACTCACAATTTTCAGAACAGAGATAAAATCTTATGTTGTTTTTTTTTTGCTTAGAACTTATCTAATAATACAGATGAATATAAAAAAAAACTTAAGTTTTTATTCTTATACAAAGTCTATCTCGACATCAGAATCTTACTCGTCTTCAGACAAATAAAAAGTTTCTTCTGCTAACTCAATTTCCAGTTGTTCTTCATTTTCAAAACTTTCAGGTATTTCACGAGCAATTTTCTCTCCAAAATGACCGATGTAAATGCTGAGTTTTTGGCTTTTCTCTCTAGCAGAATTTTGAAAGTCATCCAGCAATAATTCGTAGTCGTCTTCCGTCATTTGAAAATCTATATTATGGCACCCAGAAAAACTCACTTCTTTCAACTTTCCAAACTTCACCATTGTAAACAAACCACATAAAGTGATTGTAGCTTGAGCGGTAGTTGAGAACGTTACGTCCAAACTCTTCAGTAATGGTAACCTCGATAGTAAATTCTAAATCGGAGTCATTCATTTGTTTAACTTTACTCACAAATAAATATCGTAATGCTTTTTGATTCGCCAAATTGGTAATGTCGTCTGCATCAAATGAAAAGCCACCTAATGACAATTCTTCGATTGCAATATTTTCGTTTGCAAATGATTTTATGAGTAGTTTTCCTGATTTCGCAATTGAAGCGTATTTGACTTGAATGAACTCGAAAACCTTTAATTTTTTCAATTTGCTAAATAGAAGAATATCGTTGACATGGTCATCACGCGGTTTCCATCCGTAACAAAACTCGAATTTTAATTTTTCCAAGTCCTTGGCATTCTCTGTGATGACACTAATAAATTCGCTATCGTTAAGCCCCCTCATCTCTAGATATTTCAGCTGTGGATTGAGACGAAGGATATTGGCAAGTGTGTCGGGCCGTATATTTGTATAACGCAAATCGAGATGTTTCAACTTTGGAAAATGATGCATTAAAACTTCTGGATAATCGATTTCACAATCATTCAATCCCAAAAATTTCAATCGCGGCATGATAGGTGCAAGCTCTTCAGAACTAATTGTTATGCCTCTTAATCGTAGATGATTCAAATTTTCCGAAGAATATTTTAGGATGTCATCACACTTAATACCCAAGTGATCATAAAATCCAATAACTGGATCAAAAGTTGTCATCAAGTGACCAAATTTGCAGAGAATACGACGGAGTACAGTTTTGTTGATAATATTGCCAGACATATAATTTGAATTTTCCGGACTCATACTCCATTGATACTGGTTTTCGTCAACCACGAAGCAAGAATTTCTGAAGTAACGATGAAACACTTGCTCGGCAACACTTCTCATTCGTTTGCATACATTCGCAGTGTGACACAAGCTTTCAATGTTCAAATTTTGAAAAACAGCATACAAACAATCATCATTCAATGCTAGCAATTGATTGGTTCGTTTTTTGTTCTTCGCTGTTTTTGATTCAACAGTCTTAATTCTTTGACGGAGCCTTTTGGCAATCGGTTCAACTGAATGTGACATTTGTGATTTATCTGAAAAATGTTTAAACAATTTTACTGATTTGTTTTCTATTTTATCAATCAAAGCATACTGGCTGAAAAAAATCTCAATATAATTCAGCAATGTCACTTTATATCACTTTTGAATAGATGTTCCAGAATACTTTGGTTGTTAAAATCTTTTACTATTTTATGAATGAGTTGATTTTTTTCTAGTTATTGGAATAAACTTATTTCGTTAGATGTGCTTTAGCTTACCCAGTTACTTCAACAATAGTTTCCTGATTCTAGTGCAGCAATGGTTTTTTATTTAGATTAGAATATATTTTCATATGTGCGTCCTTTCCAATAATAATAATCGAGTGCTCCTTAAGTTAAGATGACAGTTCACATAATGTCATTCATTTGAATCACATCGCAGGGTTCGACAATTCTAAATTTGAATAGTAGAATGTTTGAATTTGATTTCAAATAAATTGAAACGAAAAATATACAAAAACCAAATTTTGCCCTGATTTGTGTGAATATTTCTCATGTCGTAGTATTCTACTTACTCAAACTAGAAGAGAATCTTTCCTTATTCCGAAACCGTCGCAAAAAATGCTGATGTTGGTGTTATTGAATCTTATTTTTTTGGCGGGAAGGTTTTGCGAGAAATAGTTATATGAAATATTTGAGAAAATTGTGTGAGAAGGTTTTTTGCATATTTTTTGCTTGGGCACCAAATTAATAATCCAGCATAACATTCTGAAATTTTCAAAATTTGGCCACCAGGTGGAATTTTGAAAAAATCACAAAAAAATGTTTAATTATTGATTAAGAGCCTTTTCAAGTTGTTTATTTTTAAATTTAGAACAAAAAACGTAATGTAATGAGATTGTGTCGTTTTATTACCTCTAAAAGTAATGGGTAATATCAACTAATTTGTTATCAATTAACCTTAAGGGTGGTTAATGTGTTTCTGCGAATTTTTTTATCATAAAATCTCATTAAGAATGATGTCAAAAGGAGAACAAATAGCTAGGATTTCAATATGGGAGTAATTAGGAGAAGGTTTGCCCTTTAATTAAATAGGGCTCAAAAGTTAACTCAAAGTGGAGGTAGTAATGCTATTGGTACTTATAATATCGATCATTAGAACCATTTGATATTACCTCACATAATGTTATTGGGGTGAAATATTGTTTGGTTTTAATTAACATATCTAACAATCTTAATGACATTTGAAAGAAAGTATCTCATTTGTTAATTTTCTTAATTACAAATTTCTTCTATATAAGCCAGTATTTTTCAAAATTTCGTCAGTTTTCATTTGACTTGCAGACTACATGTAGATCTATCTACATCTAAATCTAGCTTAACTCAGTGGTTTGAAGAAAGTGATTTTTTAAAGAAACATTCCAACTTTTCGATTCCAAATATTCAGAATGCATCGAAAAATTAATTCGAAAATATTTCAAATGAAGAGAAAATCAATGGATATTGAATTGAGCTCACCCGAAACAAAAATACGGAGATACGATTCACCTGTACAACCTATGCGAAATGGAATGAAATATTTACTTAACCAAGATTGTTTTCTAAACATTTTTCGTTATTTGAACATCGCAGACTTATACTCATTCCACCAGCTTGATGTTAAAAGAGATCCCTATTTCACACAATTGATTGGAGCTTATTCGATTGGTAAAAAATTATTAACACTGAACATGTCAAAATGTAGTGCAGTAAACGATGAATCGGTTGCGGGAAAAATTCTCTCAACATTCGGAAAATCGTTAAAAAGATTGAGAATTGAAGTGAAGAAGGGACGTTGGTTTGTGGTTGCCGTTCAAAAAATCATCGACCACTGTTCACCAGATAGACTTGAGGAACTTGAACTCGATCTGAAGTATTGTGGAGATGCATTGATCGATTGGTATCAACTGGAACAGCTCGCTCCTTACATTCGTGGTTTAAAGCATTTGAGCATCAATTGCTCTGCATTAGAAGTTGCAAATGATTTCGACGAGGTTTGCTTATTTTTCATAAATGAAGCAAAAAATCTCCGGACACTGAAATTAGTAAACATTCAGTTTGAAAAAAATGAAATCAGCAAAAAAATCCAGATTGAACAAAGCAACTTGACCGAACTTCATTTGATCAATTCACCAATGTTTATGGAGGATTTCACATTCATTGAAAAACTTTCCAATTTGGAGGTGTTTAAATATAAGAATCTAATGAAGAAGGACTCATTCGTCAAAGAAATTGGTGAAACATTGGCCAAACATTGTCCAAAGCTAAGAATCTACTTCGATATTTCGTGTGTTGAAGAGGAACATCCAGATCGATATAATTATCTGATTAACATGAAGTGCTTGGAAGAAGCAATTATTTCGACCACAAAAAACGGTGCTGAGAAAGTGAATATTAATCCCCAAATATTGACCATTCCAATGTCACTCTATAACGTGATCATTGACAATAAATATAAATACGATAGTATATGTATGTTAACCAGGACCAAGGAACAAGAAGATTGCTATTTTCCTCATAGTTGGCATGATTTGGATTTCATTTCAACTGAATTTTGATGAGAATATGTTTTTTTTTTATTCAATTTAAATACAAATAACTTGAATAAGAGTTCAAAATACTCACAAGCATTAATGGAATCATCAGAATATCCGTCAAATAATGTATATATTTGTAACATTTTCACTTTATAATACCATTCATTTTAAGAGCAAAAATAAAATAACAAAAAAAATAATTGTTTGTTTTTATTCAATTTCTTATAAACTGTACGATTGCTAGTACGTTAACAATGTGCCAACGAAATCACATATTTGAGTAATATTTTATAAAAGGATGTGGAAATTCGCAACGGTTATAATATAAGCCAATCACGGGAATCTCTCTTCTTGTTGACAGTATTATTGTGAGAATGATTATCGGTTTGGTGATGGGCAAAAGCAGAATTCAATACAAATTCGAGAGATTGGTGATTTTGAAAAGGAAAAGAGATGTGCGACGGTGTTTCATGAATGGCATGATTTAATGTTGGACACTAATTAGAATGAAATACATCGCATAAAATATCATCCACAAATTTAGCATTGTCCAAATTTGTTGGCGCAAAGAAAATGTAAACTATTTGATTGGAAATCATTTCCACGTGAAACATTCGTTTGTTTGTTTGTATGTTATGGACTTTGACCGAAATTTAGAATCAATACTCATCTTGCTTTCTTAATTATTATTTTTGTGTATTTTAAAAAAGTCAGTGTCACAAATCGATCATAGATGAGTTAATTGAACGTTTGATATGCTTGGCTTACCGTTTCGATGACAGATGTCAATATATATAATACCTTAGCTCATTTTCATAACGCACATATAATAGGACGACATTGAAATCGTTAGTGAGAGCACGCACTATCATTTGTACCAAATTTGTATTTTCTTTCATTAACATTTCATTCGAAATTCATTTGTTAAATTTCACAAAACGATTAAAATGTCGCATGACCAAGGGATTCATCCACCATCAAAATGTACGTAAACCTCATTAAAAAAAAAAACGATCAGAAAAATATATAATATTTTTTTATTTTTTTAATCGTTTCTTAGTTCGTTGGGGCCAAAGACAATTAGACGCCATGGAAAGAATAGTAATGGAACAAAGCTACAAAAAAGATAAATATCTGCGTGATGAACAGTTGTCTATGCTGTGTAATAAATTGGATTTATCGAAATCTTTTGTGAAAAGTTGGTTTGCAGCACGACGTGGTAAAGATGTAAAAAGAGAAAGACAATATCGGCAATCTCAAATTCCAGTACATCTGAGGACAAATTCTATTTTGGAGAGGATCCCAGAGCCAATGGTGGAAGTAGATGAATGTTCAAGGTTGATGCCATTTCAATTATGCTCACGGACAATACCAATCGATCCAAAATATCCAACTAAACCGAATTTAAACGATAAGTATCGTGCACATAAGCAAGTGAATACAACGTTACCAGCGACGCCTGCAGTGATAGACAATTGCACAAATAACTCGACAGCAAATCATCAAATATCAGTTAATAATCACAAAACCCCAATTCAACAAAGACAGACTATCAAATTTTTTCGACCGTTCGAAGACCCACCAACCATTGAACGTCCACTGCTCAATGCCAATGCTTCAAATCGAAATATATTAACCGCCGAAGATGATGATGATATTGATGTTGGCGCCGCTGGAGAGGAAATAATGACAGACGAAGAATTTTATGCTGAAATGGAAAAATATTATAGGGAAAATATGCAATACCCTGATAGAGCCAAAAAGGCTTGGTTAGAAGAATGCGCTAGAGTGTACGGAAAATAATTGTTTATTTTTTCCATATTTTTGGTTAGGTTAATTGAAAAATCACATTTCATTTAAATGAGCATTTGACAACGTTTAACAATTATTCCATATTGCCAATGAAATTGTATTCATTTTCCTCTTATTATTTGATAGCATTTGAATAGTTTCCGTTTTCATTCTCTGAATATACTCAAAATAAAAAGATGCATTCAGTCGTATCAAATTCAGATGTTGTGCAAAAGATTTTCTTTGTTCATTTTATTGGAATCAAGCACCGAACACAAACCTTATAATATACAAGATATTTTCAAGCTTGACATTCAAGTTGACGCATCAAATTTGAGAGGTTCCGTAAGCACCTTACACGTATTCACTTTTAACAGAATATTCATGGTGAGGTAATATCTGAAACAGAACATAAAACCAACTACCAAAAATAAAAGACCTGATTTGCTTGAAAAGTTATTTATATATGTATTTTAACCACAAGGATTTAACAATATATCACTTTTCAATCAATTTTTTTGTTTGATTTCATTCACTTGTTTCCAGTAAACTTTTTTTTTAATTTATAGAAATACACTGTATCGAAACGTATTTATTGTTCCTTGGTTTCACGGAGACGTCGAACAGCGGAACGGACTGAAGCAGCAGCGGTTGTTGAGTAAACCCAGGCACCACCAGCAACGGTGCGTCTGCATCTGCTGCATGACCAAATACCAACACAGGCACGTTTCATGGAATCCTGAAAATAGAATAAAATCACATAACCATTAAAAAAATGGACGAATAATCCACCAATTTTTCATTGAACTCAAAATGTTCCGGAGCGAAAGTAAATATATAATTGAATTGAACACGTCGCAACACGAATTCGTGCTTACCTTGCCACAGAATGAGCATGTGTATTTCGAATGTTGGGTGATTTCGATTTTCTTCACCATTTTACGTAGTGAGGCACCATAACGGGTACCATATTTTCCTACGATTCCAACCTTCTTTGTACGTTTGGCCTAAAAACACAACAAAGAAAACATTTTTTTTTATAAAAACACAGTAATAATTCACGAAAATAATTGAAAAAAAAAATCGGCGGTTTTGACAATACACTTTTGCCACTGTATAAGCATTGTTCAAGTCACTTCTAAACAACAAACACACAATTCTTCACAAAAATCATAGAAATATCGATAAAATCGTGAAAATTTTGATAATATCCACCGATGAATTAAAGTTTGTTTCAACTGAAAAAGTTTTTTTGCGAAAATTTTCGAAGATTTTTCTGATTTTTTGTAATTATTTTTCGCTTACCATTTTTATATGTGTTCGCCTGTCAGTTTTCAAAGCGGAAAGAGAGTCTCAACGTGACTTTTGCACTGAAGTTGGTCGAATATATGAACAAAACGCACACTAGCCCAAACGGACAAATGTCAAATGACTGTCAATGACAGTTCTTAAGTAAACGATTCATATGATGTTTTGTGAATATTTACAAGTTTTCGCGGTTTTTTTTGTGATGGAAATGTTTTAAATTGGATTTGTATTTTTTTGAGGGTGCTTTTATTTGCACTGAAAATTGTGATATATATAAAATATTGAAAAGAGTTCATCAAAGCCGGTATTTGAGCTAGTTAAATTGACATAGCTCGAAATACTTTATGCATGAAAAAAAGAACTCCCTTCTGTCACGAATCAATGGAAAGAGCGCTATACGACTGATTTTGACTTTCACAAAATAAAAATGGACGGCATCGCAAGAACCCACGAAGGTAATATTTTTCGCTTTTTTTCTTAAAATTCGTCGTTATTTCAATATGAAAATAACAGAAATCTGTAAAAAAGTTACAATTCTCATATATGAAAATAGTTGTGAAAAGCAATTTTCCAGAAATTATTCTGATTTCAGATAAAATTCATTGAACGATTGTATACGTTTGCATTGTCGCTTGTGATGTGGTTTCCTAACCAAAACATGAATTACAAATTAAACGTAGATACAAATTTTGTTATGATTTTGATTTGTTTTTAATTTCTTTGGAACATGTTCTTTCTTTTATTGCAGATATCGAGGCTCAAATTGCCGACATTCAAACTAAAAAAAAGGAATTAGCTGCTTCACAGGCTAGTGAAAAAGGTGTTGGCTTGTTGGAGAGCGGCTACTTTGACAGCGAATTATATGATGACGGTGGCGATAAGAGGAAACGGTACGAAGGTTACATGACCTCAATTGCTGCGAACGATGATGCAGACGACGATGATGATGACGGTTTACCCATTACCAAACGAACAACATACACGGCACCCAAAAGCATTCTGAAGGATGTCATTAAACAGGTAAGATTTATTGATTTTTCACAGTGTTGTCATGTGAACCATTCGTTGTGTTTACATCAAATACAGAATTTTACATTAAAATGCAGCGACTTAATTTCGATATTTATTTTATCGCAAACATTTGATTTAAATTCTTTTTTACAGGGTGAAAAAGACGAGCAAGATCCATTTGCGGATCGTCGTCGACCAACTATTGCTGACAGAGAAGATGAATATCGACAAAAACGTCGTCGTTTTGTCATTTCACCAGAGCGAGCAGATCCATTTGCCGACGGTTAGTATCGATTCATCTCTATATAATGTATTTTAGTTAGATTTAGCCAGTAAATCTAGTAAAAATGATGTCTAACCAGTTAATAGCCAAAGCAGATAAATTTGAATAGTCAATGAAAGAGAGAAAGAGAGTATGATTGATCAAAATGATAAGAGTTTTTTATAAATGGTAACCGAACAATAAAAAATTATTTCGTATGAATGTTTGTGAGAGTATTTACTCCCCATTGAAGAGTCCATTATTAATATTACCAAACATTGTCAATACAGGTCACGGACGACTATCTTAAAAAAGTCAGTGTGTGTCCGATATCACAAACAAGTCACAAATCGACTCTACCGAATCGCTGATGCATCCAAATGTTGACTTGAAACCAAAATAAGACAAAAAGGTTGAGAACTTCATCAATGAATGGAGAGTCTGTCTCTGGTTTCGGAAATGACAATCGAAATAAGCAAAAAACAGGAAGAAAATGAGAGAGAGAGAAAGAGCAAGTCATGTGACAATTTTGTCAACTCACTACAAAGAGAACAGAATTTTATTCAATATTTCTCTCGAAACAATGTTCCGCCAATTTCCATTGTCAATTTCGTGTATTGTGTGAGAATGAATGCATTTTTTAAAAAAGTTTAGTCAAAAAGTATTAATCACAACAGAATTATTTCAGGATATAAAAAATAAGATAAACAGACAAAAAAATATCATGTCATAAAAAATCAAACACTCAAATTTTAAAAATATTTAAATCGATGGGAGACGAGAGTCTGTTCCAGCACGTACGTATACAAATAATCCTTTTATTTACAAAAATTAAAATCATTCCTGAAATTTGAACCAATAATCAAAAATAAACCTTTCAGTTTCAAATCGTCCTGTAGTGAACAACCTGTAGTAATACTGAAAAAAGACAATCAAATTTCAAATGAGTTTTTGAAATAAAAGGAATAATTCGAGATTTTATACATTTTTATTTGTAAAAATGAACAAAAAAAAACAGCAGAAATTACGTTACTATTCGTGGTCATTAATGTTAGACTTTTTCTTTTCTTCATTTGCTATTTTGCAGGAGGAAAGACTCCAGATGTTACATCGAGAACATACACCCAGATTATGCGAGAGCAAATGCTGGCAGGCGAAGAAACGGAGGTAAGATTTTGCAAATGTTTTTTTTTTTACATGGAATTTCAGTCATTTAATGCTTCATTTCTTCTTTAAAACAGTTGCGCAAAAAAATTCAAGAGAAATCAAAAGATGGAACTTTGGTGAAGTCAAGTAATGGTGATGCGAGCAAAGCTGCAGAGCCACGTAAACGCGGTCGTTGGGATCAAACAATTGATGATCAATTTGTACCAGCAAAAAAGGCGGCCGGTGCGGTTACTCCAACGTGGAATGATGTCGAGGTTAGTTTTGAAAAAAAAAAGAAAATATTCTAGAATAATGTGAAATAAATTGGTAAATGCTCATGGAATTTTGGATATTTTTTTTCCCATAGAAAACGCCGGCATTTGGTGCTGAGGCACAAACGCCAGGAGCAACACCGCGTACACAAAGAATGTGGGATGCGACCCCAGCGCATGTTCCATCTACTCCAGCACTCGAAACACCAGCACATGAAAAGAGTGCACGAAGAAATCGATGGGACGAAACGCCGCGTACTGAACGAGAAACGCCTGGACATAATTCTGGATGGATGGAAACTCCAAAAGCTGATCGGGCCGAAGAGCGTATAATTGAAGCGGCAAGCGCATCAAAAAGACGATCGCGGTGGGATGAAACCCCAACTGCCACGCCATCGATGACACCAAGCATCGGTTTGGCTACACCATCAATGACACCATCGGCCACTCCAGGACATGCAACACCATTGCTTACACCTGGTGGATCTACCCCTATCGGCTTAAAAGCAGCATTGTTAGCCACACCAACGCCAGGTAAAAAATATTAAATTAAACCATTTTATGAAATTTTCTAACATGAATTTAAAATTTAATTTAGGTGCATTGGCCGCAATGACACCAGAGCAATTGCAAGCATACCGATGGGAAAAAGAAATTGACGAACGTAATCGACCATTCACCGACGAAGAGTTAGATGTAATGTTTCCGCCTGGATACAAGGTGTTGCCTCCACCAGCTGGTTATGTTCCACTTCGTACACCTGGTCGTAAATTGCTTGCCACACCGACACCAATGTCTGGCCAAACTCCACACGGATTCTTCATTCAGCAGGAAGATAAACAAGCAAAATTCATGGACAATCAACCAAAGGGACAAAATTTGCCGTTCATGAAACCGGAAGATGCTCAATATTTTGATAAATTGCTGCTCGATGTGGATGAAGAGAATTTAAGTCCGGAAGAGCAAAAAGAGCGAAAAATCATGAAGCTCCTGCTAAAAATCAAGAACGGTACGCCACCAATGCGAAAATCAGCATTGCGTCAAATCACTGACAAAGCACGTGAATTCGGAGCTGGCCCATTGTTTAATCAAATCTTACCATTGCTCATGTCACCGACACTCGAAGACCAAGAGCGTCATTTACTTGTCAAAGTTATCGATCGTATTTTGTATAAATTGGACGATTTGGTACGACCATACGTGCACAAAATCCTTGTGGTTATTGAACCATTGTTGATTGATGAAGATTATTATGCACGTGTTGAAGGACGTGAGATTATTTCAAATTTGGCCAAAGCAGCCGGTTTGGCAACGATGATTTCAACAATGCGTCCAGACATTGACAACATTGATGAATACGTGCGAAACACAACTGCACGTGCATTCGCTGTTGTCGCATCGGCTTTGGGTATTCCTTCATTGTTGCCCTTTTTAAAAGCCGTTTGCAAGAGTAAAAAATCATGGCAGGCCCGACACACTGGCATCAAAATTGTGCAACAAATTGCCATTTTAATGGGATGCGCCATTTTGCCCCATCTCAAGAGTTTGGTACAGATTATCGAACATGGTTTAGTTGATGAGCAACAGAAGGTACGTACAATAACAGCATTGGCTATTGCTGCACTTGCCGAAGCCGCCACACCATACGGTATCGAATCGTTCGATTCCGTACTCAAACCATTGTGGAAGGGTATTCGAACACATCGTGGTAAAGGGTTGGCTGCATTTTTAAAGGCCATTGGTTATTTGATCCCATTGATGGATGCTGAATATGCAAATTACTATACCAGAGAAGTGATGTTGATTTTAATTCGTGAGTTTCAATCGCCCGACGAAGAAATGAAGAAAATCGTATTGAAAGTCGTGAAACAATGTTGTGCAACGGATGGTGTTGAACCGCAATATATAAAAGAAGAGATTTTACCGCATTTCTTCAAGCACTTCTGGAATCATCGTATGGCGTTAGATAGGCGAAACTATCGTCAATTGGTTGACACCACTGTCGAAATTGCGAACAAAGTGGGCGCATCCGAAATCATACATCGTGTGGTTGACGATTTAAAAGATGAAAACGAAACGTATCGTAAAATGGTGATGGAAACAATTGAAAAAATTATGGCCAATTTGGGTGCTGCTGATATCGATTCACATCTGGAAGAATTATTAATCGATGGCATTTTGTATGCGTTCCAAGAACAAACAACCGAAGATGTTGTTATGTTAAATGGTTTCGGAACGATTGTGAATCAATTGGGAAAGCGGGTAAAATCATATTTACCACAAATTTGCGGTACAATTCTATGGCGTTTGAATAATAAATCGGCAAAGGTGCGTCAACAAGCGGCCGATTTGATTTCACGCATTGCCGTTGTCATGAAAACATGCCAGGAAGAAAAATTGATGGGACATTTGGGTGTCGTGCTCTATGAATATCTTGGTGAAGAATATCCAGAAGTATTGGGATCGATTTTGGGCGCATTGAAAGCAATCGTCAATGTGATTGGCATGACAAAAATGACACCGCCAATCAAAGATTTACTACCTCGATTAACGCCCATTCTAAAGAATCGTCACGAGAAAGTACAAGAGAACTGTATTGATTTGGTCGGTCGTATTGCTGATCGTGGTCCTGAGTATGTGTCGGCACGTGAATGGATGCGTATTTGTTTCGAATTACTTGAATTATTGAAGGCACACAAGAAAGCCATTCGACGTGCCACCGTCAATACATTCGGTTACATTGCCAAGGCCATCGGCCCACACGATGTGTTAGCTACACTATTGAATAATTTAAAAGTACAAGAACGTCAAAATCGTGTTTGTACTACAGTTGCAATTGCCATCGTTGCTGAAACATGTCGACCATTTACCGTTTTACCAGCCCTAATGAATGAATATCGTGTTCCCGAATTGAACGTTCAAAATGGTGTGCTAAAGTCAATGTCATTCTTATTCGAATACATCGGTGAAATGGGAAAAGATTATATCTATTCGGTGTGTCCATTGCTTGAAGATGCATTAATGGATCGAGATTTGGTTCATCGGCAAACAGCTTGTGCAGCCATCAAACACATGGCATTGGGCGTTTATGGATTTGGTTGCGAAGATGCTTTAACGCATTTATTAAATTATGTGTGGCCAAATATTTTTGAAACGTCACCACATTTGGTTCAAGCATTCATGGATGCAGTCGACGGGCTGAGAGTTGCACTTGGACCCAACAAAATTCTCCAATACACTTTACAGGTAACGTTGAATCGCATACAATTTCCATGTTAATCCAAAATATTCATGTCAAACATTGTTATTGATCATTTTCAGGGACTATTCCACCCGGCTCGAAAGGTACGTGATGTGTATTGGAAAATCTACAATTCATTATACATTGGCAGCCAAGACGCCCTGATAGCTGGCTATCCCAGAATCGCAAATGACACTAAAAACCAATACGCCCGATATGAACTTGATTACGTTCTCTAGAGAGGTGAACAATAAACTATGATCATCAATTATAATAATAATAATAATAATGATAAATATATCTAGAAAACGCGATATTTCATACCAAACTACGATTTTTATGTGTTGTGAGCGTTTAATGTGCATCTTTTATAAATTTTTCCGATTAGAAACAAACAATTGTATCGTTTAATCTAAAGCTTATTATCGGATTTATTCTTGACCACAATTTAATAGCACGAAAATCAGAAGAAAATGTCATTCATAATTAAGTTCAAATAAATAAAGGTTTAATTGATAAGAATCAAATTTGGTTGGCTTTCTTTTCATTCCGACATATTCATAAATTATTTATTTTAGAAGGACTGACATTTTCGATGAAAAAAAAAACTATTTTGTGTAACTCAACCTATTTGGGTTTCATTCGTTAATTTTAAAATTTCCTCCTAGTAACTAGAAAAATTGGATGACCTAAGGTGCACTGGCAAAATCAAATTAATTCGCATTTTATCATTTCATTCAATAAATTAAAAATTAATCGATTCAAGATGAGGTTTCCAACTTTCGTGATAATTCAAATGTTTGTATTCAACAAAACCGATTAAATATAGATATATGGGGAGGGCAAATGTGCGACCTTAAGTACAAATTGAAAAAATATTCTTTACAGTGTACAGATACTTGAATGAAAGATACTTTGCCCGCCAGAATCTGGAAAAAATCCATAGAAAACTATTTAATTTCATTGCATCTATAGATGATATTAATATATGCATAGAGTGTCGTATAATAATTAAAAATATGTTTGGTATGTTGGTAATTTGTTCGTGTTGAAATTGAATTCTTCACACATTTCACACATGCGGTGCGCGTGTTTGTGTTGTTTGAGTGACAGCAAGCGAAATGTCAGTGTTTGTTGTTGTGTGCAAACCAAAACAATTGGGCCAGTACATGCATGGTATTTGTTGTATGGACGGAAGGTATACACGCGTCTGTGTGCGTGTGCGCGTGTATTTGTGTGAGTTGGCGTGTTTCTTGATTCGCATTGAATAGAAGCGAGAAGGTATGATAAATACAAGAAAACGAACAATGTGAAAAAGAAGCAGCAACTTTTTGAATTGGTCTAGTAAAACATTTGTAAACAGTGAATGAGCGTCTCATTCGTTGTGCATGTGTACGTGTTTCATTCTTCGCATAATGAAACGGCGACTATAAATCGCTATTGTTTCTAACATATCTATATGCGGCAAAGAAGTGTTCAAAAGAAGCACATTATCGTCACAAAATAGTGCGTATTTTTCAAACTTACAAAATATCTCATCGAATTTCTGTGTGTGAATGTTCAATAGTTTTGGATAATATTGAGTTAAAATCAATGTGGTTTCAACGTTAAATTAATGGTTATGTGTGTCAATATTTTATTTCATTTTTTTTGTAGACAAGAATATGCTGCACAAAGCCTCGAAATGAAATACAACACGATTCAAAGAAACAAGTGAAACGATAAATTAATACAACGAGAAGATGGTCAACAATGCGCCCGAAACTAGTGAAATTGAAAAGGATTCAAATAGTGGCAACGATGACAATGGAAATGGACTTACACTAAGTGGCTGTAGCTCAAACGACGATGTCAATCCTTACAAAAGTTATGCAAGGCGACGAAAATGTAATGAAAATGTACAAGTTTCTGAAAAACAGAAAAAACGTGAATCATATCAGCGGGTGAGTAATTGTCTTGCTTCAAAATTAAATTTCATTTTTCGCATGAAACTTTTCACAATTTTAGCATATTTGGTTGTATGTGAAATGAGAGTCAATTATATAGTCAAAATGTGGTTGAGCATTCTTCTTTTGTATATTCTAAGTCACGTTCACACTAAACGCATACACTCTCATGCATACGCAACGCACGCTATTACAAGCGTGTGTCCAACATGTATGTGTGTGTTTGTGTGCATGTGTGTATGTATGAATAATATACTATTTGTAAACATTATGATTCTATTTTAGTTTGGTTGTTTACATATGAGTTTAGCACAAAATGATTTGATGTATCATTTTTTTACTCTGAAATACAGATTTCGATAATTTTACGTAAGAGCGAAGAAACACGAACGTCCGATGAACTCAAACAATTGGAAGCAAACGCAGATATTGTGCGTCAGATTATCAAGCGTCGCGAACACATTGCTAATACGCGTGAACGAGTATTGGAAAAAGAAGATCCACCGGAAGTGATTGAAGAAAAAGCGAAAAAATTGGCCAATGTTTTATCTCGGGCTCAACATTTGGTTGTATACACTGGTGCCGGCATAAGTACATCAGCTCAAATACCCGACTATCGCGGCAGTCAAGGTAAGTACAGTCAAGTGAAAATGTTAGGACACAGAACCTAATAAAAACTCTTCTAAGGTATTTGGACTTTGCTGCAACAGGGGAAAAAAATTGGCGAATATGATTTATCACTTGCTGATCCAACATTTACACATATGTCGCTATATGAACTACATCGTCGCAACATTCTACGTTATACGTTATCACAAAATTGTGACGGTTTACATTTGCGGTCAGGCCTACCGCGTCGGTTGCTCAGCGAAGTTCATGGTAATATGTACATCGAAGTATGTAAATATTGTAAGCCAAATGTTGAATATTGGCGAAGTTTTGATACAACGGAACTCACAGCCCGGTACAATCATAAAACAAACAGACGGTGCCATTTTTGCTTCAAACCACTCATCGATACCATTGTACACTTTGGTGAACGAGGTACTTAGATATTTTTTTATGCTCTGTTATTGTTATGTTATCGCTAGATTTTTGCCGTATAATAAATATGGACTCAATAAGAGTCTATCGAAAAAGATTGGATTACTTGAATGTTTGATAAAAAAAACTATTTATTTTACACAAGTCGTATTTTGTCGTCGTCTGTTCTAGTTACAACCAATCTAATAAAATGTAATTTTTCAATATTTTATTTACTCAATTACTATCGTTGAAAATATAAAACGATTTTATCAACCCTAATCCAAGCATGTTTACATGAAAAACGCGCAATATGTAACATCGTCATTGCAAATTACTTACGCTTCAATCGCTCGTTGATTTTATAGAAATTGATGTTTCCGCAGAAATATTTAATTTTTGAATAAATCAAATCGAATCTCTTTTTAATAATTTATTAACTTACGTTATGCGTAATTCTATTTGTTTACCACCTAAAATTGTTTCGAATAAAATTTTCAGGACGTTTGAAGTGGCCGCTAAATTGGGAAATTGCGTGTAAAAACGCCGAGAAGGCTGATGTGATTTTGTGTTTGGGCTCAAGTTTAAAAGTACTCAAGAAATACTCATGGCTTTGGCAAATGGATCGACCGAAAAACAAACGACCTAAAATCTACATTGTAAATTTGCAATGGACACCGAAGGATAAGATCGCATCGCTCAAAATCAATGGAAAATGTGATGAAGTCATGAAATTGGTGATGAAGTATATGAATATTAATGTCGCTCCTTATAATCGTGTGAAAGATCCGATTTTTGCACATGTAAGCCGACTACTGCCAGAAGAACAGCACACCGTTTCACAGCCAATGCTAAAACATCATACCGATGAATTGCTGATAAAACAAGAAGTCAAAAATGAAATCAACAAAAGCATGTACGATGAAAATACTCCCAAGAGTGAGACCGATGCGAATAATGATGAGAGTAAAGTGGAAAATGCGCAAAATAAAAATTACATAAAAGCCTCGGATGACATTAAAAGTGAAAATATTAAGAACAACACCGATGCAGCTACTACGCATAATTTAAAAACAAATAAAAAGTCTGACAGTTGCCAAGAAAATGCTGTGGAAATGAAATTAAAGGAAAATGAATACTGTTTAAGTGAAAGAGAGCCAAAAGACTGTTTACGCACTGATAATGTTGATGCAAAACTACCTCCAAACAGTCATATCGAATTAAATACAACCCAACCCAACATACAAAGTCATGAGATCTCACCACATGACACAACTAAAGCAGAAACCATGGAATTGATGCGAATGAAAGATGAAGCCACAACAAATCATAATCTGAGCGTACAACATAATAATATGAAATCGGAGCTCAAATTTGAAAAAGGAGATGGCGATGAGAAACAAGATGAAGGTATGTTAGAAAAAACCATTGATTATCATTCAAAATAAACCAATTAAATTTACCGTTTCTTGTGTTCAATGATTTTCAGGTTATTTAAAATCGCTTATCAATTGCTATCGAGCAATAGAAGGTGTAGTACCACATTGGTACGATGTAAACTATGCGTATTCGGGACTGCATAGCATTATAAATCCGCCACCAAATGAAGTCGACATTTGGAGCAGAATAGTCATACCAATTCATCAGCTGAATCGTAATTTAGCTGAGTGTGAATTCTGTTTTGACAATTACGCTGAGGATAAGTGCCAATTCTATCAGCCACTTCAAGAGTTTCATGTGTCGGTCACGCGACGTCGTAACGGCAAACGTATTCTATGTGAATGCTGCGACTATGATAATGACATTGACGAGGAACAAACTTCGTTAGATGAAATCGATGGCAGCGAAGGGCCAAAAACAAACTCCGAAGAAGATGACACTGATTCAAGCCGTACAAAACGACTCAAAGTCGATCATTCGACTACAGCGAATAATATGACTCAACGTGTTGTACAACCTGGGTGGTATGGCAAAGGCTATCGTAAAACGGCGAAACGCAAGAAAACACGACGGATTCAATTACGGTAGATTCATGCTACTATATTTCAGTTTGATTTGTTTATACAACAGATTTTGATTTCAAAATTAATTGCGATGTTTAATCGAAAAGTGTTCTTTTCTGTTTTTTTTTTTTGTTCGGATGATAAACAGTTTTTTCTAAATTATTTCTTCTAAATTATTTGAACATTATTTTTTCTATTGAAAAATTGATAAATAATCTCGATTTTTGTATTGGAATAGAGAATAAGGAATTGTAACTTAAAATAAAATGAATTCAAATTTTTTTATAAAAAAAGGTTTTGTTTGAAATCGAGAACTTTTATAATAACATGAACAAACTGAACTGATAATAATAACAAATGCGACATATAGAGTTTATTGTTATTTATAATATGAAAATTCTTCACAAATTTCTGACGAAACACTAAAATCTGATGTAATACATTTAATGAATGCTGTTTGTTCATTTTGATATGGAATACAACCATTTTATACTGCAACATTAACTTTCAGTGGACTGATTTTCCAATTCAGACAATGCCATTTAATTTAGAATAAACCTACATGAATGTGGTAAGTATCTTTTTTTTATTGAAAAGGAACAATGTACGACTATTAATACATACTGTGCATAAAATGTGGAATCCAATACCTTTTATAAAATTTAGCTTAGTAATCGCGTCTGCGACTATGCTGAAAAATAATAAAAATGTTCATAAAAAATACAACCCAAGTTTTTTGGTGAATATTCAAGACACCATTCAGTCGAATTTGGTGGGCAATGCTGATTTCGATGGATTTCATTGGAGAAAGTAATATTCAGCATATGTCAATTCTTATTTACAAAAATGCCATCTGAAATTCAATGAATACAGACGAATAATTTTGCTTTATCTAAACATGGAATCGTCCCGTATGCTCATCAGAATGTAAGAAGTAAGCTGAGTTCTTTTTTTGATATAATATAGAAATATTTATACAATATAGAGTTTATTCACTCATTTATTATCATTCAAGTCTTTATTTTAGCCGAAGTATTCTTCAATATAGGTTGAAAATATCTTGACCCATCCAAATAATAGATTAATAGAAACTCTGTTAAATGGACAAATAGACACAAAAATATACCTTTATTTATCATATGACATTGTACAATGAATTCAAACAAAAGAATATACACATCTTAACGCATATTTATATATCTCAAATAGTGGTAAATGCGGTATATTAGATAAATGTTCATGAATTCATTCAAGTATGGAATGTTTTTATTTTGGCAAGTATATAATATTCAGTACATGTAATAATCATAATCATTATTACACTAACATGTAAATACTTACAATATGCATATAAATATTTAATAAATTTATTATGTTTGAGTGAGATTGGATGGTTTTATAGGAGATCCACACACACATACATCATACATACTCAATCCAAATTCCAAAAACGAAAAATGTGAATGCATAAAAATAGTTCATAGAGAGAACGAGAGAAATGCCAATGAAAATCAATCAAATCAAAATAAAACACATAAAATTCGAATGAAATTCAATAAAAGGTTGATTAGCTGTGTTTGCTAATCAAATGGAAATTGTTTTTTTTTAGATTATATATTGTTTAGTTTGTTGATTTCATGTAGTCCCAAAATTCCTTGTGTCATCATTATATTGTTCAAGATGCGTAGATTCGAAGTATTTCGTATCAATTTTCTTACTAAAAAAATCAAATAAATTTAAGCGCTTGCCCAACGTGGATTGAAGTCAACGCCAAACACAGACTTTTTCTTGACATCTTTGGCATCGTCTATGGCAGCCCCATCATCAGATATATGATGCTGATTTGTGCGTTTCTTTTTTGCGACCATGAACCGTTTCACTGGGAATACTGTTAAATTCAGAGAATGAATGAACGTTATTTAATAAATAAACAATCAATACTCTTTGTTCACAAAAGTCTAAACAACAATATACATCGTGACGCAAATTACCTGTTGATGTAAGGCGTTTTCTTGAATTCTCTTCGTGACGGCCATGTGGATTGCCATAATATTGAACAGATGGCTCAATCCAGTCATTCCACCATTCACCGTTGCCGTTAACACCATCGCTGATCTCATCGTCTCCATCATTACCGATACCATCAAAGTTACCGTATGGCCCATAGAATGGCTTCTGATATTCTAACGAATTTATATCATCGTTGACGTTGTCATGGCGATTGCGTTGGTTTGCTTCAAGAAACGATAAAAGTGCCAGCATATCTGCTGAATTCAGTTTGGTTGAATCACGTTTCAATCTATTGGGGATTCATGGAGAAAAAAAACTAACATTAAACATAGAAGACTACACTAATAAAATCGTGACCATTGTTATATTGTAAAGCCATTGTCGAATATGATGATGACGGTTATACTCGTTTCATCATTGTAAGAAATGAAACATTGTATAAAAATGATGAATTCTCAAAGGAGAGAAGCATGTTGTTGGGTTTTTCATCTCATAATCAATGTTTGTGACAAATTTCAAGCGAAAAATCATGATAAAGCCGTTTTATTTTATTTTGTCAAAAAATCCTATATGTCATTGACCAGTAATCAGAGAATATATTTGGATTCTGTCATCTGGATAACTTTAGGCGATGATACAGAGTGAATACAATAGAAGTGATTGTTATAGTTATGGTATTATTGTTATACCTATACAATATAACTATCACTTCTATCATCGCCCAACGTTATCCAGATGAACTGAAATATCCAGATGACATAATCCAAATACATTGTCTACCAGATACAATTACAAATACTGATAATAATTTTTGAATCTTAAAACACTTTTGTGGTTTTAAGTTAATATCATGTCACATCTTTGGATGCTTGACATCTTTTGGTTGGCTTGCTTTCGCTTTTTAAGAAAAAATTTCAGACACTGAATTGAGATATTTTCAGCCAGCTGAATCAGCTCAAGCATCTATCGTCAGGCGCTGAAATGGAGTGAAAACAATAGAGGCAATTGATAGAGTTATGCAAAAACTTCCATTCAATCAATTTTTTTGTCTTCACTCCATTTCAGCGTCTGACGGAAGCTGCCAGAGATGATTCAGATGCCTCCAGGAAATATCTCAATATGGTGTCTGATATTTTGCCTAAAAAAAGCGAAAGCAAGCCAAATATAAATATATCTAGAGAAGTTGTCAAAAACATGCACACAGCTTTCTTTGTTTTCAAAGCTTCCAATTAAAACGTGTACGCATTGGAATCCTTTCATTAGAATCACATTTTATGTAGGCTCAAAGTTTTTTGCATAAAACATAAATACTCATCGTATGTTTGTCATTTTTAAAGATAAACTTTTACAAAATGGAATTTTTCCGTTCCATTATTTTCTTATATATTTCACATATGATGGAATACAAGAGGGTTAGCGAAATAGATATTTATGAATTATACTACATTACTGCACATACTGTGAAATTCGCAAAATGATTTTATGAGCAAACTTGACCTCAAAATATATTGAAAAGCACGATATGGATGAAATTGACATATTGAACGGCCTACGACAACATTGAATTGGATGACTGGTATGATTTCCCCACTCGATGGCATCGAGTTTGGTGCGAGAAAAAAATGTAAATTCAAAGGAAAGTGACATTCTATTGTGTTCAAGCAATCGAGTGAATATGACAACTGTGTACGTAATGCAGGCGTAATCAGAAACAGTGGAACTTAAAAACAATGGGGTTTTTATGGACTATTATAATGATGCCACAGGTTAGATGATTTTTTTCTGTCTCGACCTTTTATCTGTTTACAACATCATATTGAAGTAGAATGGATTTGAAAAATATATACAACAAATTATAAATATAAATCAGTATTGGCGCTGTCTTTTATTTCAAAATAAAGATAAGTTGATAGGTGAGTAGGTATTCAGTATATTTCGCTGTTGCGCTTCGATTAGATGACAGAGTCATTGAACATATCTTATTGGCATGAGCAAAATAAGATAGATTATGACTTGAAAATTGCAATCGAATTGCGATTCTGATTATTTTTGGATAAAGAAAAAAAAAAAGTAAAATCGGCGAATAGACAGACATATTTTTATAAATCTTGCTTTCTATCATTAAATGTCTGAGCGCAAAGAAGCATATAATTTGCATGATGTAAGAAATTGAATGTCTTAGAAATTACCACCCGTTCTCGATAAAAGTCGTTGGCGTTGAAGAAAATGATGAAGGCAGAAAATATTAAAACGAATAAGAAGGAAGAACGAGATTTTTTTTTTGCTACTGCCATCATTACAAATAACGAGAATAATGTGCATGTCGTTGAAATGAAATCCATCAATTGGATTGTATGTTCGCAGAAATGACAGTCATGCGATGAACTCATATAATTGTATAATGCGTATGAAATGTGCTCTCACCTCATAATATTTTTGTTGACGACTCCACGCTTACGTCGTTCGTCAAAGTATCTGGTTGGATATTTGTATTTGACTGGTAATGCCAATGGTTCATCGTATAAATTATCCGAGCTCAATATGTGCTGAAAATTATCGTACGGTCGTTGATGATGTGGCGCTGAAACTGTTTATGATAAAATACAAAAAAAATAGCGATTTACAGATGAAAATACACATGAATAATTCATAACGCATTGAAAATTTAAATTTAACAAATCTAGCCCAATCGAAATTTTAAAGGGCATAAATTTCATACATTTAAGAAAAAGCAAGTCGGTTAAACAAGTTATTAAGTAAACATTAGTATAATCAATTTAATTTAAACAAATTACTGACTTGGTTGCTGATAATATTGTGGATAGTCTTCTAGGTCTTGAAATTCCGAATATGGTGTATTTTCTTCTGGATCGTCCCAACTACCGAGTGGAATGTTATTGTTGTATAGTAGGTCACTCTGCATATTGGGCTCATAGAAACTTTGCTTGACTACCATCGATTTGTGCACACCATACAAAATACGAAAGAACCGAGAAGCGAATGAAATTAATTAGAATCGATTTGGTCCATGGAAAATATAATTATGAAACTAAAACCACAACAGTCTTCCTAATTTATTTAATGCAGAGGCAAAAACTTTAGGTTTATAATTTCATTTATGTGCCTGATTTTATTTTGGGTTGTATGAGTTATGAATACGATATTGAATGAAATAAATTACGCAAAAATGATATGGATGCTTGCAAAAGTGCTTCCTCATTGTTACATTTCATTACCTCCACGTTTTTGTAGTATCGCGTGTAGTTTCTTTGGTTGTGCTTTGTCAGCAGTAATTGGGTTTCCATGTTCTAGTAATGATGGACTGCTCTTACCGTTTACGTTCGTTGTATGATTCTCTATAAAAAAGTAATGATAGACGGAAAAAGGCTTTTGGTGAAATAAACAAATTGAAATAAAATAACTTGAACATAACATATATAAAAAAAGTCATCAATGCCATTGTATTCATTAAGAGTCACTCTGAAGATAGAAAAATTTGCTCCATCCCAAAGAGTATCAGAAGTCATAGCGAAGAGGGCTCTTTGGTGAAAAAAATATCGATAATAATTTACAATATAAATTGAATCTTCTATTCACTTTTCTAATGTGCTTCATGCAAATTTACTAATTTAATTTACTTTCTCAAAAGGTTTGATACAGAACAGTAAAATTTGTGACACCAATTTATCTTATGGATGCCACCCTTTATCACGAGTGGAATTAAAACATATGCATAGTTTGCCATACGCATGGATGTATACACAGGCGTACTCTCATTCTCCAAATAGTAATTCTTCTCTTTTATAAAAGTGGTATCCGTTTGTCGAAACTCTCAGCAATCAAGCCACTGAAATAAATCGTAGCAACTGAATATGTTTTATTCAGTGTTTTAAAAAAGCCCTTTTCAAATAATATAAACCTCCATAATAAGATTTTGTGTGTGCGCGTGTGAATCGGATAATACAATCCATTTATATGAGATTGTATAAAATACTGTGATGATGGGTAAAACACACCAAAACGTACTGAGTAGCAACTGGAAAAATAAAAGCTCTTTAAATCGAAGTAAAATGGTTCGATTCGTTGAAGTGATTTAGTTCGTTGCCATATGGGTAAATCCACTTGAAGTGTTGGGCGTTGAACGTCTTGTTAATATTGCTAAAAGCTTGATAAATTTCTACTTTGGTTAAATCGTTTGGCTCACAAGTCATCGTGAACAATAAATATGCTTCTGTGCGTATTATATGTCTGTGTGAATTATAGCACATAATATTTCAGTCGACATTTTTATTCCCATTGCGCCACGTATTACGATGTGTCTATGAGCGAGTGAAAAAATGGATGGAAAAGTTGAATCTACATTGAATAGCAACGAGGAATAAAAACGCGTTTTTTTCTTTCTTTCTCTCTTTGGTTGATGCGTGCTCTGAGATGTAACACCCATCTAAATTCATTATCCTTTGATTTTTGCACATGAGTGAACAAACAACCTGTTGTTGTCATTCATTTCAATGTGTATGTATATGCGAAGTCTGCTTTTCTATTCGGATTTCGCGTATATGTACTTAGGAGACCTCCGTGCCTAACATTTTTTTGTGTATTCCGAACAATGGCTGGATAAAAATGTGCGAAAAGAAAAATGCGTTTCAAATTTCATCAAACTGGTGGCTTTTCTAGGACGCTTGCGGCATTGCGAAAGAAAAAAAAAAGAAATAAAGTTGTTGTGGTTCTCGACGACAACCAATTTTGAATTGTGTAAAGAACTGTGACCATTTTGTACAATATCTCGATTAGCATACATACATTGTATGACATTTTTTTTCGCTTCTCATTCACTTGGATGATGAAGTGTAATTGATCGCTGTAGGTGGCTCAAATCATGCGGATACAGTACTAATTGAAAATATTTTTTTTTTTCGCCGTAACAAAAAACGACTTGTTTGCACACAAATTACGAGTAATATTTGTAGCTTTTCTCATCAATTTCTCTTTTCTTTTATCGTATGGAAATTGGCTAGTTTTATGACAAAGTAATGGTCAGTGTATTTAATTAATATCGAATTTTATTTTAATTGGAATGGGTTTCTCCAGTAAAATGACATCGAAATGATGGTCTTAAAATACAAACTTCGGAACGTTTAGTATCCCATATATACATATAAAGATTTTACTCAAATAATATACAATGGAAATTTATGCAGGCTCTGGCATCTTATTTCTTTCGTTTTTATTTTCATTAAGTTTGCTTATGATGAAAGATGAAAAAATACATTTTGTCCCTCTGGGGTACATTTACCTTTATTTATTGCGGCCGATGAGGATTCACTTTGCTGTTGTTGCTTGGTATCAACTAAAACTGAAGTAGGCAAACTTTTAACAAGCACTGATGTCGATAATAAAATAGCAAAAATGGCACAAACGTGATATCGAAAAGATTTAGCCATTTTTTCCCTTTTGCTATTCTATGGAGAAAAAAATGAAGCGTGTAGATGAAGGTTAAAGTTTTTTTCACTTTTCAAGCCCGAATAGGAAGCTTCACGAACCTGTTGAATGCTACCTTTAGTTCCAAATTAAAGCTTTTACCCACACGTTTGTGATATTAACTTCACAAATGATTTAATCGCGGAAAATACCGAAGCTTCTCGCTTCAAATATATGTTTTATCTTTTGCGATTTACTTTCGACTGATTCAAAGAACAACGAGTTACGTATATTTATTTCAGAGATGTGTGATGTGCAATTAATGGACATTTGAATGCAAGAAAAAACTCAAGCATCAGATAACTTGTGTGAAACGACCATATCATTGATTTCACGCAATTGCGCATTATAGAATCTACTCAAAACGACAGTGGCGAACTTTACATGGAAAAATACTCAGTCATCATGAGGATTTTGAGCTAAATTCCAGTTTTACTCACATAGTATGGAAAGTGAAATTCGTCACAAAAAATGTAATACGATTGAACAAGTGTGTTTCAATCAGTTTGGAAAAAAATCAACTTTAACGCTTCATTTATGAACTTTGAACCTTGTATTTTTGTATGGTAATATTGGTCGATGTGTTCGAATAAGCAAAAATGAATTAACAAACGACACAATATAAATTGTTTGCTCTATTTAATGTACCTGAGTGAGAAATATGCGAAATATGCATGAATTTATGAAACCTCATATTTTTCAGGTGGTCATTTTGCTTTGGTGTACAAACACTGTACTGTAGAAGGAAACTTAAAAACAATATTCTAAAATCATTATCATATATTTAAGTAAATGCGTATCTTTTGAAAGTAGACACAGGGGCCATAAAACATTTTAAAGAGTCTAGGTTTCTTGTCTGTAATTAGACTAAAAAAATGAATAGACTGATGATTGTCTTCTTTAAAAACTATACACATGAGTTAATATGAAATAGAGACATTGAATGATAAACAATGTTCATTTAGAACTCAGTATTTGCTTGTCAGTTATCACAGAAAGACGAATTTTTCACCAAAATCCATCTAATAATTTCTTTTTGATGAATTCTGTGTACTTTGATTGAAAATAAGATTCAGTTAAACCGTGAAGAAGTTGAACCGTGAAGAAACAAGTGAGCATCATGAGTTTAAGTGAACCAATGGAAGTCAATGAATGTTCAAGTACCTGTGAAACCGTGGTCGATCCTGTAATGTTTGCCGGCAGAAAGAAGATTACAAGTTTGAATGATGACTGCTTGGAATCTCTCTTCATTAACTTAGAATGGATGGAGCTACTAAGTGTTGCTGACTCTAGTCGTCACTTTTACGCAGCCGCCTGTTTGGAATTTAAACGAAAGTACAGCAATGCAAAAGTGTCAATTGGTGGCTTTGGCAGCATGCCGATAGCTTCAAAGCACTCAACTCTTGTGCCGCTCCGCAATACAAACACCATTTCCATATTGAATCCGGTAACGGCGCTTCGATTCCTACGAAACTTCGGCCATTTATGCATATGGAATTTGCAGGTCAATTGTAGATTAGTTGGGCCCGAACTGTGCGAAGAAATTGAACGCTATATAAATAAATATTGTTCGAAATCGTTGAATACCTTGTGGTTGGGCTGTAGCTCATCGAAATCGTTTTTTGATGGTTGTGTCAACGCATTCGAGAGGATCGACACCCTCCACGTGGAATCTTGTAATTTCAATTGCGATTTAAGTATATTGAAATTGTTTCCAAGTTTGCGTGTTTTGAATTTGGGTGGAAATCGATACAAAAATCCAAATGCAATTCGAGTTCATCTTGAATCGGTGACCGATTTAACCATTCAGGCCAACAAATTTGAAGAGATTGACATTGAAGAAATGTTAAAATTGAATTCACAGCTGGTACGGTTGGAAATTTTTCCAGTTTATAGTCGTGAAATTATTCAATGTATCGATGAATATTTACCAAATCTTCGGTGCCTTGAATTACGTGCTCTGTCACAAGAGTTTTACAACGAAGATCCATTACTTGAGCCGATTCGTTTGGAACACATTGAGCATCTTTCACTGCACATTGGTTTACCGGCGCTACGGAGCATACCATTTTCATTTGGAAATCTAAAAAATTTGTTCATAAATGGATCATTGGAATTGAATCAAAATTGTTTGCAATTTTTCGGAACTACAAATGATTTGAAATTATTAACTGTATTGCAATGGACTGACGAAGGAAATAATATTCGAAGATTCTTTGAGCTACAAAATATCTGGTCAAATATAGAGGAACTACATCTTAGCTGGTTCAATCACATAACCACGGACTGTGTACTGCAATTTTTACAACGAAGCCAATCTCTGAAAAAAATAACATTGAATGGGAGTAAATTTAATGAGGGAATTGGTGATTTAAAAATCGGATTGACCGATTCGGGATGGCATATGGGAGATGGCTTACACAAACGACAGTTCATCATCGAAAGAGATACTGATCGAAATATTGTATGAACGATTGAATTCATCAATTTTAAGACGTATTTAAAATATAAAAAATAGATTTTATATATTTGAATAGATCATTGTTAAAATAAATTCTGAATAAAACATTATTTGTGTAAAAAATATGATCTTTTGTATTTTCTCTATGACATTTCGACTTTTAGCACCGGAAAAATCAAATGAACACAAGCTGGCAAAGGTAATAAGTCAATGTTTCATATCTTTTTATTCACTGGTTTTCTATCTCGTGCGACTATCATGCCCACATTTCAAAATATAGCTGATGTAATCAAATTACCTACAGATAATTTTTTTGCCAGTTTGGGACGAACCCAAAAGTTAGTTTTTTGTTCATGTTCAAATATTGTGGTTTCATGACAGTTATCCACACACTGCTTTCTATTGATACGTAATCCTTTTTCCAATTTAACTAATTGATTAATCAAATGTAACGCTGGAATCAACGCCTGCAAATCAATTCCACATGCATAAATTCAATTTGTTTCATCAACGTTATAAAAAAACTACTCTTGTAAATGGAAAAAACTCATAAAACACTAATACGAAATAACACTCAGTGTGTAGCCGTTTGTGAAAATGAGACGATACGAAGATGGAGTCAATTCAAATGTCATACGTTGAGGTTATGTATGTTTCAATCAATAGTAACAACAAATCGTCTCGTTAAAAACAGAACCGTTATCAAAAATACAGTGAAAATATGTTGTTAAGTAGTTTAAAATGGTTTCCAGTGAAAAAGAGAATTTTGTTTGGTGCGAAAAATATTTCAGCGCCATTCTTTCCGGTACACGAATATTGCATTGCATCGAAACAACAACACGATTACCACACAGTCCAGGTTAACAATCAAAAAGTTGTAAACAAAACAGCAATACAATGCTGAAACACTTGTACATCACATCTTGTCGACGACATCACGGTTTATTTACTTAAGCGACGAAACGATCGGAATACATATAAAATGATGACAAATTTCGAATAAACGGAGAGAACGAACATCTTGTAACAGATGTCGATAATTTACGAGTGTTTCGCAATTAAAATTCATTTTTACTCATTCAATTATTTGAACATTTTTTCAAATTGCTATCTCTCTGGAGGTAGAGATATTCATTTCGGCTGTTCGAAGTTTTAATCGATTTTCTTGTTCTTTTTAAAGCATACTACAGACACAAAACAAAGCCATTCTAGAAACGATATGTCTGGGAGATATACTGATGGGATTCCACCAAGGAAAATTCCTCGTAAGTAAATTCAAATCAAATGCAAAACTTAACAGAATTTTCTTATTATTATTGTACAATGAAAATATTTTAAGCGGTAAAACCAATTGTTGCTATCTTTTTAAGAATTATTTGTATTTTAGGTTTTATTATGGGTGCCAATCAAATGCCAGAGTCACCTCTATACATGGATCTATCGCCACAGGTGCTTCCACCACCCCGAAGAATGGATTGCGGTGAGCTGAGGATGGAACACGATGGAATTATTGTTGAAATGAATGGCCGAGTAAATCGTACACGACTTGGTCGATTTGTTGAACTAAAAGATCAATTCGGTGTCATTCAACTAGTTGCCCCAATAGAGGTGAAGAAGAAGATCTTTTTAAATTTGAATCTGAATCATATGTAGATTTTTCATGGAAATATTCCATTTACAATTGTGATTTCAATAGAATCAAAATGTCAGCAAACGTTTTGCCAATATGCCGGTGAATGCCTACATCACAATAATTGGCCGAGTCAAGCGAAGACCGAATACCCTAAAGAATTTTGTAAGTACTACTTTGCAAAATTGTCGACAGAATTCGATTTTTTCCAAAACAAAATTTATGGTAAACCGTTTAATTCGTTGTTCTTTTTTTCATTCAAAAGTCAATGGCAACAGGTGAAGTAGAGGTACATGTGGATAATATAATTCGAGTGCAAAAGACTTATCGACATGAACCACAATTGAATGGATTTGTTTCTAAAAGGTAACGATATTCATCGAGTGGATGATTACCAAGAGCGTTGAGATTTAATAATAATAGCTCGGTTCGATTCATAAAATCTTCAGGCACTATTCAACCTCAGTCGCTACGCATGAGAGTATATCGTCAGAAAAGCTAACTGCGATAACAAGTACCGAATGTAAACATGTGAATAATGCCGAAAATTTGGTTCAATGGTTCATAAATCGAAAGCATACATGCGGAAGTTTACGTATATCCGATGCTGGGAAAAAAGTCTCGCTCGTTGGTTGGACAGATAAAAAGAATTCAAAATTCATGCACTTAACCGATGGTTACGGTAGTATGCAAATACTCATTGAAAACGATGAATTAAGAGCCATTGCAAATGGAGTGAATGTCAGTGATTTGTTGTTGATTGAAGGAAGAGTATTGGCTCGACCACAAACGCACATCACTCACAATAGTCCAACCGGTGAAATTGAACTGTATGCAGAGAAAATGGAGATTTTAAATTCAAATACACCATATTTCGATTTGGATGACAAGAAGACTGAAGCCATTCCTGTGAATCTAACGAATGTCAATGAATACACGTATAGAAGTCACAATTGCGGTGAATTAAGAGAATCGGACGTTGGAAAGGAGGTCACACTATGCGGTTGGCTCGAATTTTCACGTATGAATAAATTTTTTACATTACGCGATGGATATGGTCATACACAGATTATAATACCAAATAAAGTGAGTATTTGATGTTTCTTATCATATTTCAACTCACTCATTCTCTATTGCAGTTGATGGACATCCAATCAGTGAATTTTGAAACAATTTTAAAAGTGAAGGGAAAAGTTATACCTCGACCACCGAAAATGAGAAATCCAGATATGAAAACTGGCGATATAGAAGTCGAATTGATTTCATGTGATGTATTAAACAAGTCTATACCAAATTTGCCATTTGTAGTACGTTCGCTGCATCGACCAAATGAAGTGAATCGAATGAAATATCGATACATTGATTTAAGGTTTGAAGATATGCAACGAAATCTTCGACTTCGTTCGAATGTTGTAATGAAAATGAGAGAATATTTAATTAATGCAGCTGGTTTTGTTGAAGTTGAAACACCAACACTATTTCGTCGAACACCAGGCGTGAGTATCTAAACTATTGTTTACTCTTTTTTATCATTCCAAATACCATGCAAAGCAGCTGTGTAAACAAAATATCAAATGTGTATACTTTGTATAATATTTTCTCATTTGTATATCATCAATGTGATTGTGGTTCGTACACAGGGTGCCCAAGAGTTCGTTGTTCCCTCTCAAAGTCCGGGAGAGTTCTATTCATTGGTGCAAAGTCCACAGCAATTCAAACAAATGCTCATGGCTGGTGCCATCGATCGATATTTTCAAATTGCCCGATGCTATCGGTATGCAAGAGATTTTGTTTTTCAGCAAAGAACAATCGGATTTCATCTAGAAAATATAATCAACTTTGCTATATTTTCAGAGATGAAAGCACATCTGTAAATCGGCAACCGGAATTCACTCAATTGGATATTGAGCTGTCATTTACACAACCAGAATCAGTAATCAAACTAATCGAGAATGTCTTATCAAATTCTTGGCCAAAAAATCTACCGAAAATACCAACAACATTTGAACAAATGACATATGAACATGCAATGGAAACATATGGATCTGACAAACCTGATACACGGTCAACAGAGTTTTTGGTAATGAAAATAAACAACAACAACATTCAAATATCTAATCGGTCACTATTCATATTTTCAGTTAAAGAATGTCACGCATTTGGTGAAACCAAAAGAAAACAGCAGTAAGTTGAATAGTGCCTATGCGATTGTATTACCAAAAGAAGTTGCTGAACCATTTAAAAATGCTTATGAATCGATCTTGACGCAACGTAGGGTGCAGGTTAAAAACATTGAGTTTATTCAACTGAAAAATGATGAGGTAATACTTTGAGCTTATTTTTTGGAATATATTTTGAACATCATTGTTTTCTATCTTCAGCACCTCGAAGAGACGATTAAGAAAGTGAATATTTCAGTTTCACCAGCTATTACAGAGGAGTTGAAAGTAAATCCTGACGATGTGATAGTCGTGGCCTTTGGAAATAAATTGAATGTGGTAATATACTTTTCATAAATTTACTGTTTGTTTGCATTTCGATTTTAAAATTTAAATTCGATTTTATTTACTATATTTACTTAGCAAGAAGCATTGGGAAAAATTCGATTGGAATTGATCGAGAAAATTGTTGAAGCCAAGGGCCAATTGAGAGATGATGATGTTTTTAAATTTCTATGGGTAGTTGATTTTCCTTTGTTTCTGCGGAACGATGAATCCGGCCAACTTGAAACGGCACATCATCCATTTACCGCACCGCACGCAGACGATTTACATTTGTTGGAGTCTCGGGAAACAATGGAACAGTGCCGATCGTTGGCGTATGATTTAGTTCTGAATGGCCAAGAGATTGGAGGTGGTTCGATTCGCATACACAACGCCGATTTACAACGAAAGATTTTGAATGATATCTTGAAATTGAATTCGGATCATTTAATGCATCTGATTGAAGCATTAGAATCGGGGTGTCCTCCTCATGGTGGAATAGCCCTAGGAATTGATCGTCTGATATCGATCATGTGTAAAACTAATTCAATTCGTGATGTCATTGCATTCCCAAAGAGTTCCGGAGGAAAAGATTTATTGTCACATGCGCCGTGCAAAATATCAGACGAAGAATTACAACTATATCATTTGAATATAAGAAAATAATGTGTTATAAAACACTCAATTTAGTCGTAGATCATTTTGAATGAGAAAATAGCAATAATTTTAATAAGATTATAATGACGCAAGATTTTATTGAATAAAAATTAAAAATCACGAAGTATATTTCATTTTCCTTACGGCATTTTTCTTAACATCAATAAATTCAGTTTTGATAATAAATTGATAAGTAATTTACAGCTAGGTTACATATCATTTTTGATTTTCGTAAAAATGTCAACATGCCATGGAATAACTCTACTGACAGTGGCTAATAAGTAACAAGGAGCCGTATGCAATAAAATTTAAAATCGAGCGACCTTTGGCCAAAAAATATAAGTGAGTACAAGTAAGTGTAAATAGGAAGCGAAGTACTTATTATTATAATATTGTAAAAGTAAAAAATAAAGAAACACATAAATTACCATCAAATTGAGGTAGAAACATATGCAGGTGAAAATTAATATAAACTGTGAACAATCAAGTTGACGAATGTGACGTAAAGTCTATCGCACACAAGCGATTACATTTCATTTTATAAGTGGCGTATACTTTGCTGTGACGTATGATTTTAGTTTGTTTCAATTGCACAAACGTCATACTTGTAAAATGAAGCTCAAAATTTCTTACCGAAGATTCAAAAGGTGATAGTGTTATTGAATATATTATAGACGGTTTCCTTTTATTATATGCATTTTTATCTAGGGGTAGACACAAACTAAAACACTAAGAAAAATTAGGACTTATTAGGTCCTTCAAATGTACACGTTATATGTAACACGTTTTATGTAATTTACTAAAAAAACTAGGAAAAATTAGCAATACTAAAGCCCGTGTCTCCCTCCTAGATTTTTATTCAGTTTTATATACTCACATAACAACTTTAGACATCTAATAATCTCTACTATTTTTCCAAATTGTTTGTCAATAGAGAAATTTGGATGAATTCAAGGTTGAAGTCATTGACCAAAGAAAAGTTCTATATTATAACTTGAATAAAGTGCGAATGATAAGCTTTATGTAATGATCCGTGCACGGTCCCCTTGTCGTGGTTATCAAGTGAAATATATCAAAAACAGGCGACTTTTACGTTTATTAGTCCTAAGATAATGTACTCGAACTGCCTATGGAAACAATAGAATTTACTCGAAATAATTTGGAGCATGTTTCGACTTTTAATCGAATGCTTTTTCCAGTAGATTCTTGTATTTTGAAATTGAAAATAGCATGCTGATTCATTTGTAGTCTGCTATTTTTGAGTTTGATAATAAGATTTTATTGACAGGCGAAAGTGACCAAAACAATGCGACGTATCAAATCTCATTTTATGAATCGTTTTGAAGATTATAATGCAATTTGAATATGCAGTTAAAGCGCAAAAGAAAAATATTTAGTTGATAAATTGTAAGTAGAAAACATGAAAAAAACATTATTTTTTTCTTGAATAAAATTGTCATTTTTATTATGCACATTTCCTTCCAGCGGCCAAAGTACAATCAATGAATAATTTAAATAGAAGTTACTTAATCTTAGATATTTAAGCTATAAGTCTTGCATTAGATCAATATCAATTATTATCAGAAACTTAAATTATGCTATGCTCAGTTATCATTCGATGACTAACATCTGCCTTGATGTTTCACTTTCAAGCTTTTATTGCTCCTGCTAGCACAATTGAATGTGCATTCGTTGGTATAAGTTTTTCCATCATTTCCGCAGAGTGGTGCAAAGTTTCGAGCACAAACACAATCCTCAACTGCGTATGGGACTGGTACAACCTTTTCGTTTTCCTTGCATTCTCCTTTGTGTTTCAAGCTCAAACCCTTCGTGTTTTTAATGGCGCAATTCAACATGCATTCGTTGGTATATGTATTGCCGTCGCTTCCACAGAGTGGTGCAAAGTTTCGGGTGCAGATACAATCCTCAACTGCGTATGAGACTGGCACAACTTTTTCGTCTTCCTTGCATTCGCCTTTATGTTTCACGCTCAATCCTTTGATATTATTTCTGGCGCAATTCAACATGCATTCGTTGGTATATGTATTGCCGTCGCTTCCACAGACTGGTGCAAAGTTTCGGGTGCAAATACAATCCTCAACTGCGTATGAGACTGGTACAACTTTTTCGTCTTCTTTGCATTCGCCTTTGTGTTTCAAGCTCAATCCATTGATGTTTTTTCTGGCACAGTTCAATGTGCATTCGTTAGAATATGTATTTCCATCACTTCCACAGACTGGGACAAAGTTTCGAGCACAAACACAATCCTCAACTGCGTATGGAACTGGCACAACTTTCTCATCTTCCTTGCATTCGCCCTTGTGTTTCAAGCTCAATCCTTTGATGTTTTTAATGGCGCAATTCAACATGCATTCGTTAGAGTATGTATTTCCATCACTTCCACAGGCTGGTATAAAGTTTCGAGCGCAAATACAATCCTCAACTGCGTATGGAACTGGCACAACTTTCTCATCTTCGTTGCATTCGCCTTTGTGTCTCAAGCTCAATCCCTTAATGTTTTTAACGGCGCAATTCAACGTACACTCGTTGGTATATGTATTACCATCACTGCCGCAGACTGGTATAAAGTTTCGGGTGCAGATACAATCCGCAACTGCGTATGGGACTGGTACAACTTTCTCGTCTTCGTTGCATTCGCCTTTATGTTTCAAGCTCAAACCCTTCGTGTTTTTAATGGCGCAATTCAATATGCATTCGTTGGTATATGTATTGCCGTCGCTTCCACAGACTGGTGCAAAGTTTCGGGTGCAGATACAATCATCAGCTGCGTATGGAACTGGCACAACTTTCTCGTCATCTTGGCATTCACCTTTGTGTATCGTTTCTAAGCTTCTGAGGTTCTTTCCCACGCAGTTCAAAGAACATTCGTTGACATATGTATTGCCGTCACTACCGCAGACTGGTTCAAACATAAGAGTGCAGGCGCAATCTTCCGATGCGTATGGAAGTGGAACGATTTGATCGTCGCTGCATTCACCATTGTATTTGATGACCAAATTGTGATTTCGTTTCTTTTCACATCCAAACAGACAGTTGTTGGAGTAAGTTACGTTGTCCGATCCACAAACGGGGAGATATTGACGAATACAGCAGCAGTCAGTAGATGCGGGTGCAGAGTAAATTGATTGCACTAAGGCAACGACTCCAATGATAACGAATAGTTTGTTTACTCCCATTTTTCCAAATTGATTTGATTCTTCTTTTCTTTTAGTTGATATCACGTTGAACACTTTTCGTATAAATCTTTTGTTTTTGCTTCAATTGAACTGTTCAATTTGATTTCTTAGTCTGAACTAATGATTATCCTTGTTACCGGCATGTATTTATATGACATTTTCAAGTGCGTACAAACGAATAACATTTCTTATCAAACCGATACAAACGTATTTTGGCGAGCCCAGCAACTGACAATCGACTGGAAAATACCAATACGAAAAAAATACTCGAAATATCTAAAAACAAAGTACTTGATCGTACAAATCGAAAGCTGTTTACACTCGTTAGCAAATTAACTTTTATTGGGTCCGATGATAGAAATTTCCGAGGATAGAAATTTCCAATAGTGTTGGTTTCTAGAAAGAATTAATTGTTTGACAATTTAATTATGTGTAACATCAATAACTGATTTCATACTGTACAAATTTCAAGGTAGATTTGATCAGCAAACTTTGTAAAGTCTTTTTCGAATGAATCATTATTTTTAAATGTAACATTGATATGTTAGGAAATTGTGTTTTCCTCAATATCATAGTGGCTCTTAGTATTTTCTCTTTGGTTGCGATCACACAATCCAAAATAATTGTTTTAAAAACGAGAAAAACACATTTATATTTTATTATGGAAATGTCTCCATTATATTTTAGTTGTGGTTGACCATTCAAGTTACTTTAGAATGGAGGCATTTTTAAATTTTCTTTCCTCATTTCCCTTTTTTTTATTAAGGAGTAAATATTTTTCAGTAAATCCCCATTGTAATTTTACTACAATCTCATATCACCAAAATAAAAAAAGATACTCCAATGCCAAAAATAGAATCTAATCGCACTTGACCGGCTTTTACAAATAAATGAAGACGTCTTTCGATCAAATATATGACGATCGTTGCTATTTGAAGTTAATTGTTGTCAATCGGTATACCGTTTTCAAAATGTAGCTCTGACGTAGTAGATATGCTACGTGAGATCATGATGTTATCGCTGCTCAAATAATAAAATACTGAGCAGTTTTTAGGAAAATAATTTTCAGACAGTATAAAAAAGTAAATACTTGAACAATGAGGGATTCAGCACGAACTCCGAAAGTAAAGAAACTAAGGAATATTAGAACCTAGGTATAGCTATTAACATTAATGCCATATGCATAATGTGTACGGAGAGCTATATTTACAAAAATGAAGGAACGGTAAGTCAGACTTAAAACAGTGTCTACCCCCTTGCGAACAATGTGGATATATTTTTTATTTTTTAATATTTCGATTCCAGCCTAAAATGATTTTTAGATTTGCCTCGAGCAAAGCACAACAATGACCATTGTGGGTTCTTTTTGATATTACCAAATGTGATCCCAGCAAGGGTTCGCCATATTAAGTGCTGCTCCAAAGTTAAATGCCAAGTCTGATAAATTCGAAGGCTCACTGAATTTGTTATTTATTAGCATGGCGGACGACGTCTCTAACCTAAAGAACACCTCCTTTTATCTACTAACTAAGTTTATTGATTTCATTGACTCGCATTCTCCGCTTAAACAGAGACAAGGGTGAATTTAATCGTATAATGAAAGAAGAAAACATTTTTTTAATTTAATAACTTAAATAGAAGTTACCTAATCTTAAATAACATTTTCTATGAAAAAAGTAGGGTATAATCAATCAGCTGGTGCTAAGGTTTGCACTTTATTACGCAAGATGATGCCATGATGACACCATTACATAAGTGCAACAAAACCAACTACAGAGTGTTTCGCAATTTACAACACTTGTGGTAATCGCTGTAAATATGTAAACAAAGTCATGAAATTTATCGCGAAATTACGGTCAACATTTTCCTCGTATTACATTTGAAATATGACACAGTAAAAAAAATCGAAGAGTTTACAGTTTGAAGACTTAC